TAAGGGCATGGCCACTTGAGTGACAGGTGGATTGCCGCTGATGTCACTACTAGCTGTTTGTCTGCTGTCTGTAAGCATCACGTCAACTCAGCTAATTCGCCTTTATGCCCATTTTCTTCCGGGAGTGACGTGCTGCCAAGATGGCGACGGACGGGTATAGGGGGCGATTTCGAACACAGCACTAGTGTCCAGTTTGTTCCCTTGATAAATCATTCTGTTCACCTTGTGTTCCTTAATTATCTCTTTAGTTTCCTCGTTTAGTCATATATATTTATATATATACTTCCAGTTCTGTTCAGTTCTTTGTTCTGTCTCGTCATTGTTTTATTATGTGGTTGTATTACTCTGTTTCCTGAGTTTTCCTTGCCTGTTGGATTTATTAGATTAAAAACTCTTTTTGCTGATCTCTGTGCGCTTTGTACAGCCACCTGAAACATTACAATAAATGTACATATGCCAAATATTATCTAGTTACATATTATAAATACTCTGAGTCATATGTTCATTAAATAAATTAAATCACAATGTTGAAAGTGTAAGGATAAGGTATGGCCAGTTGTGTGCGCTGGCCCCAATGTCCAACCAGGAGCTCGATGCCTGAGCCATTGTTCATCCCGGATCCTGAACCTGCACTTTCTATGTGCGTGAAGTGACCAACAAACCAGAGCTCAAGCCTGCCGAGTCTGACCATGTGAGCCGGTATCAATGTTCATCCCTGAGGGAGTGCTGGTGGAGTTGGAAATCGTGGAGAAGGATTGTGAGGACTCAGGCACAGAGAGCTTCAAAGCTAATTAGTTAATAAAAAAATTGACGAAACACTTAAACCTCCCCTCCCAGATGTTATACACATCCGGGCCTCATCTGGGCCAGTTATGGCACATATGGCTCAGTTCTGGCAGCAGTGAAATGTCATATACATCTGGCCCACACACATCAAGCCGGTTTTAGTGTGAGTTGTTGCTTGCTGTGTGTAGCCCATGTACCTTTGCTGCTGCCAGAACTGAGCCAATGCTGTCGACTTATGAATTTACACATGGTTTGTCTTAAAGCATATTAAAAACAGCACATAGAAGTATAAACAACATTTAGAATGAAATAAACAGAATTTAAAATGGACTGAATAAACCTCTCTACGAACTTAAACTTAAAAAAACACGCATGAATCACTGTCACACACGCTCAGAGCAATATAAGTTACTGCATAACACATTTTTAACAAGCAGAATAATATAACATCATGATAGTCAAGTCACCTTTATTTATATAGGCCTAGCTCTTTTACAATACAGATTGTTTCAAAGCAGCTTTAGATAACAGGGAAATAATGCAACAGAGTTTGTTTCTGTTGTACAGCAGATCTAGAAGAAAATAGCGTCATAGTCCAGCTTAAGTAAGTTCAGTGATGGTTAATTTTTGTTTTAAAAAATGTATTGTAGTTAATTTATCTGATACAGTCGCTCTGGAGAAAACAGTGATGTCATCATCGTCCAACTCAGTTCAGTTCTCATATAATGGTGTCAAGTCAAGTCATCTTCATTTATATAGCGCTTTTAACAATGGAGATTGTTTCAAAGCAGCTTTACAGAGATAAACATACAATTTACGGTAACAGAGATTGTTTTGGCTTTATAGCGATTTTTGAATAATGTTATTTCCAGGTAAAGTTGGTTTTGATTGATTCACTTCCCGCAAAATCATCATTTGTTATTACATTAGGGGCCACTAAGACGACGGCGTTCTCTCTAAACAGACTTTAAACGCGAACCTGTGACCTGATGGCGTTCACATGCGCATTAAAAATTGATTCTATAGTTAAATTCGTTTAAATATGTGTGCGCAGGTTTGTAATTTCCCAACAAACCATGCCTAAACAAACTACTTCTCTTGCCTATAAATTTGATACAGAATTTTATTTTATCCCTTCGAGGTACGCGAACCGGATTTTCAACAACGCTTTATCTGTACAGTGGGAAAGGGATCCTCCATAGGGAGAGGATAGTTGACACTTCAGCACTGCATTGTCATCGGGTCCAGGCGAATCTCCTTCGTCAGATCTGGATACGGCCTGGATCCAGCAGGCTGCGGGAAAACCTCGGGATAAACAAAGACACTAATATTACCGTAGATGCCATTCTTCTTATTATGTAACGAGTACATCTGGATTTAAGGGAAGTGTTCCCAGTTCCGGCTGACCTAATCTATGCAGCCTAACATTGAATTATCGAAGTCTATAATGTATTATGTGTATGCTAGGTCAAAGAGATGTGTTTTTAGTCTAGCTTTGAACTGACAGAGTGTGTCTGCTTCCCGGACAATGGTAGGAAGACTGTTCCAAAGTTTTGGTGCTAAATAGGAAAAGGATCTACCGCCAGCAGTCGATTTTGATATTCTAGGTATTATCAACTAGCCGGAATTTTGAGATCGCAATAGACATGAAGGACTATAATGTTTTAAAAGCTCACTCAAGTACTGCGGAGCTAAGCCATTTAGTGATTTGTAAGTAATCAACAATATTTTAAAATTTATACGATGTTTAATAGGCAGCCAATGCAGTGTTGACAGAACCGGGCTAATATGGTCATATTTCCTGGTTCTGGTAAGAACTCGAGCTGCTGCGTTTTGAACTAGCTGTAGTTTGTTCATTAAGCGTGCAGGGCAACCACCCAGTAGAGCATTACAATAATCTAGCCTTAATGTCATGAACGCATGAACTAATTGTTCTGCATTTGTTAATGAGAGCATATGGCGTAATTTAGATATGTTTTTAAGATGCGGTTTTACAGACACGTGACTTCCAAATGAGAGATTGGTATCAAAGAGCACACCCAGGTTCCTATCCGACGACGAAGACTTAACAGAGCAGCCATCAAGTGTTAGACAGTATTCTAGGTTATTACGTGTGGAAGTTTTTTGTCCAATAATTAGAATCTCTGTTTTTTCAGAATTTAGTAGTAGGAAATTACTAGTCATCCAATTTTTTATATCGGCTATGCATTGCGTTAATTTTGTGAATTGGTAAGTTTCGTCGGGGCGTGAAGAAATATACAGCTGAGTATCATCGGCATAACAGTGAAAACTAATTCCATGTTCCCTAATGATATCTCCTAATGGTAGCATGTACAGAGTGAACAGCAACGGTCCTAGTACTGAGCCTTGTGGTACGCCATACTGAACTTGTGATCGATAAGACATATCTTCATTTACTGCTACAAACTGATAACGGTCAGATAAGTATGATTTAAACCATGCTAGTGCAACTCCACTAATGCCAACATAATTTTCGAGTCTATTTAAAAGAATGTTGTGGTCAATAGTATCAAATGCAGCACTAAGATCAAGTAACACTAATAGAGAGATACAACCACGATCGGATGATAAGAGCAAATCGTTTGTGACTCTGATGAGAGCGGTCTCGGTACTATGGTACGGTCTGAATCCTGACTGAAAATCCTCGCAGATGCCATTTCTTTCTAGAAAGGAGCACAGTTGTGAGGATACTGCTTTTTCTAATATCTTTGATAGAAAAGGCAGATTCGAGATCGGCCTGTAATTGACTAATTTTGTATGATCAAGTTGCGTTTTTTTAACAAGCGGTTTTATCATAGCCAGCTTAAAGGTTTTTGGTACGTATCCTAGAGACAAAGACGAATTAATGATAGTCAATGCAGGAGATCAATAATATTGAATATTAGTCTCACTTTCAGCTGTGTCTTTTAACTATTATAGGATTTCCAAGGACAAAACATGAACTTTAACTATTGGCTTTACATCATCAAGTCAGCTGTCACTTTACTTTGGCACGAGGCCCGAGGGCTCTGTTTGCAATATTCCATAAAAAAGAAAAGAAAAATAATATAGTGGTGCAGGGATGATGTAAATTGGTTCCCTCAACAAAAACTCAATAGGACTTTTCCATAGGATTTTGGATTTTTGCAACAACAACAACAACAACAACAAAAAAAAAATCTGTGATCAACAAATGTTATGATACTTAGGCTGTTTTGTCCACCAATATCATTTTCACAAATGACCACAACTTTTATGAATTTTGTCAAATAAAACAAATAAATATGTAAATATTTAAAGTATGATGTAAATAGTGTAAATATGTAGAGAGATAAAAACTTAATGTGGCTATGCCAAAAAGTTTTACATTCAAAATGTCTATAAACTGCAGTACTTTTCATGTTAAAGTCTTTTATTATTGTGTAATTTTAATGCTAAAGGAGTGATTTTGATAGTTAAAGTGTGCGGTATTGGTTAAAGTGAAGGTTCTGATCGTGTAGCGACTCGCTCCGCCCTGACAGGAAGTGCATTGACACAGACAGAACAGGCCAGCAAGAGTTTCACACACACTTTCATGAAATAAACTCATGAAACATCAGCTGAGCTCATCTCTGAACAACACACACATCTCCCGCGCCGCAGACGGAAGAAACTCCGCGGATCAGATGAGATGAGATGAGCTTCTACTCTTCTGAACTAACGTTAGTTTAACCAGCTCTACACACGAGGAGAACGTGGTGAGCGTGTGTTTGTTACTTTACTCTTAAAAGCGCTTCGTTTGATGTTGCGTTCGGCGGATGGGATCTGATGACGTGTTGTTACTGACTGTTAGTTAAACTCGTAATGACTGATGAGAGTGACGGACATCTGCTCATCAGGCTCATCCTGTGAGTGTGTGACTGTTGCAGGACACACACAAACATTTACTGCACTTTACCATAGTACTTTCCCCAGCAGCCCTAACAGCATGACTTTACACTGGAATAATAATCAGTGGTCGATTATATCAGGACTTTTTTGTAACGACTGATTAATTCCTAAAATATAAAGGCATCTAAATATTTAAATTTCCTTGTATACTTCTTTTTTTTTACTTTTTTTTTTTACTATAAATTATGCCCATAAACCAAACCTAATACGGTAGCACACACACACATATATTATGTAAACACAAACTTTGTTTCACAGCCTTTATTAAACTCAGTTTCACAGTTTCTTTATAGACGCATATGTTTGACAGCAGAGAGCCAATCACAGTGGAGTTCTCCAGAGAGGCGTGTCATAATGACATGTGTTTTCTGCAGGCGATGGAGCAGGAGAGTGTGGTTCAGTACGAGCCGGTGGCAGAGATCGGCGGAGGCGCTTACGGTACGGTTTACAAGGCTCGCGACAGAGACAGCGGGCAGTTCGTGGCTCTGAAGAGCGTGAGGGTGCAGACAAATCAGGACGGCCTTCCACTGTCCACGGTCCGAGAGGTGGCGCTGCTCAAGAGACTGGAGCAGTTCGACCACCCCAACATCGTCAGGTACCGAAACACACGTGTGCATGCACTGATCTACAGTCACGCGTGCTTTCAGGGAGAGAGAGAGCCAATCAGCAGTTGGGGACGTGTCAACTCATGATGTGGGAGGAGAGAGAGCCAATCAGCAGTAGGAGGCGTGTCCACTCATGATGGGGGAGGGGAGAGAAAGAGCCAATCAGCAGTAGGGGGCATGTCCTCATAATGAGGGAGGAGAGAGAGAGAGAGAGAGAGAGAGAGAGAGAGAGACACAATCAGCAATAGGGGGCGTGTCCACTCATGATGAGGGAGGGGAGAGAGAGAGAGAGTGAGCCAATCAGCAGTAGGGGGCGTGTCCACTCATGATGAGGGAGGAGAGAGAGAGAGAGAGAGAGAGAGCCAATCAGCAATAGGGGGCGTGTCCACTCATGATGGGGGAGGAGAGAGAGAGTGAGCCAATCAGCAGTAGGGGGCGTGTCCACTCATGATGAGGGAGGAGAGAGAGAGCCAATCAGCAGTAGGGGGCGTGTCCACTCATGATGGGGGAGGAGAGAGAGAGAGAGAGAGAGAGAGAGAGAGAGAGAGAGAGAGAGAGAGAGAGACACAAGGTGTGTTCGACATCGGCTGTGGCTGGATGTAACCGATCGGCGGAGGAGCTGCAAATGGAGACGTGAAGTCGGACACTTTCTGGTTCCCGTAGTGACAGCTCACGTGGTGTTTGTATACTTTACCACAGCTGAAGTGAAATAAATTCAATATTTGCCAAATGCACAGATGTTTCAGACACATTTCATTCAATACTTTATGTACTGCTTCATACTGCATCTGTTTGAACAAGAATAAAGTTCAAAATAGCCACTATCAATGAAGTGCAGTCGACGTTTTTAATCACTTTTATTTTGATAAACAAAACACAATATAGCCTAACATCACGACTACATGAAAAGAGTGTTTACTGTTATAAAAAACTGATTTGTGAGCTTTAGTGGAACTAAAGGTGTGAGAATAAACACGAAACGCACGTGATCGTTGTCATGCGGTGAATCCGGCCAATCGTGGAACAGCTGTGTCGTCATCAGAGCTCGTGCAGCCCAGAGCAGCCGCTCTTCAGAAGCTGCGCTGGCTGAGTTCTCTGGCTACTCTCGAATCGCTCTCGCGGTACTTTGATGCCATACGTCACAGTCACGTGGCGTCGGCGCTGTATCAAGTCGGAAAACATTTCTAACCGGCATGCACTGCTTCAAGTCAGCCGCCGATCGGTCTGCGCAGAGCTGCATGAAGTCGAACAAGCCTACAATCAGCAATAGGGGGCGTGTCCACTCATGATGGGGGAGGGGAGAGAAAGAGCCAATCAGCAGTAGGGGGCATGTCCACTCATGATGGCGGAGGAGAGAGAGTGAGCCAATCAGCAGTAGGGGGCGTGTCCACTCATGATGGGGGAGGAGAGAGAGAGAGTGAGCCAATCAGCAGTAGGGGGCGTGTCCACTCATGATGGGGAGGAGAGAGTGAGCCAATCAGCAGTAGGGGGCATGTCCACTCATGATGAGGGAGGAGAGAGAGTGAGCCAATCAGCAGTAGGGGGCGTGTCCACTCATGATGGGGAGGAGAGAGAGTGAGCCAATCAGCTGTAGGGGGTGTGTCCACTCATGATGAGGGAGGAGAGAGTGAGCCAATCAGCAGTAGGGGGCGTGTCCACTCATGATGGGGGAGGAGAGAGAGTGAGCCAATCAGCTGTAGGGGGTGTGTCCACTCATGATGAGGGAGGAGAGAGAGTGAGCCAATCAGCAGTAGGGGGCGTGTCCACTAATGTTGAGGGAGGAGAGAGAGTGACAATCAGCAATAGGGGGCGTGTCCACTCATGATGGGGGAGGAGAGAGAGAGACAATCAGCAGTAGGGGGCGTGTCCACTCATGATGGGGGAGGAGAGAGAGAGAGTGAGCCAACCAGCAGTAGGGGGCGTGTCCACTCATGATGGGGGAGGAGAGAGAGAGTGAGCCAATCAGCAGTAGGGGGCGTGTCCACTCATGATGAGGGAGAAGAGAGAGAGAGAGAGAGACAGACAATCAGCAGTAGGGGGCGTGTCCACTCATGATGGGGGAGGAGAGAGAGAGTGAGCCAATCAGCAGTAGGGGGCGTGTCCACTCATGATGAGGGAGAAGAGAGAGAGAGAGAGAGACAGACAATCAGCAGTAGGGGGCGTGTCCACTCATGATGGGGGAGGGGAGAGAGAGAGAGCAAGAGGGAGAAAGACTGTAGAAAGAGCAATAAATTAGACATTTTTCAAATGTAGTCTTTTAAAAATGCATCTGAAATAATAAACTAAGTGCAATGTAGTGTTGTCAAATATATCGATTTTTCGACATATATCTGAAATGCTTCCAATACTCGTTTCTCGCAGAATAGATACAGGATATCAGCATCTCCTTCTCTTGCTCTGGATGAATATTGTTGCTGTTACAGGGCTAGATTTCGGCGTGGGATTGCACGTATTGTGCATAATGTCTCATTCCCACATATTTTGTGCTCACAGCCAAAGTGCGGCACATAAAGCCGCCTCTCAGTGCTAAATTGAGTTCTTTTCCACTGCTTGTTGAACTTAAACAGTCAAATACACACTAAATAATGGCAAAATGCCAGTCATGGCGAGTGTTGACAGTCTGTTACATTTTAAGTGAACATAAACAGTTGAGAAAGAAAACGCATGTGTAACAGAATATTGGATCCGTGCTTCAGGTCTTAAAGTGACAGCAGCCTAATAAACCTGCTGACAATTATCAACAGTGTTCAACAATAATTCTCAGAAATCGCTTACTGCACCTTTAAGCCTTCAGCATTTAAACGTTTTTTTTTTTTTACAATTAGGTTGTGCTTTACATTTTCCTCAAAAGCTCCAGTCAAATTACTGTCATTAAATACTACAGTTAGTTAAAAATCTGGAGTGAATGAGATTTCATGTCTGGCTTTCAGACGAGGACAGTGGTGTACATTATTCCTGCTTCATTATTGGATAATGTATGCCTGTGTTCAGTAAAGTGATCTGCACTCGACACCTCAGACTTAAGTCTCTCTTCCTGAGCTTTATCCTGTTTCCGCTCAAGCGCCATCAACCAGGATGAGGAAAGTGCCATCGCTGGTATCCTATTCAGTAACAGCTCGAGACAAGATAGAAATATACAGAGGAGAGAAACGTGCACACACACACACACACACCAATCACAACACTAATACAACTGATACATTCCACAGTAATTTCAATTCACATTTATTTGTATAGCGCTTTTCACAATACACATCGTTTCAAAGCAGCTTTACAGAAAATGCATGAGTCCACATCACAATTTAGAGTGATCATCAGTAATGTACATATACAAAATAACAGTTAGCTAAAAATAAATTAATTTAAACAATGTAACAATGTAAGGCAGAAACAATGAGCTCATTGAAGTAATACATGTAGGTTAACAAATGAGTCCTGGACGTAACAGGTGTGTGATCTGTTGTGTTGTGTGTGTGATCAGGCTCATAGACGTGTGTGATCTGTGGTTGTGTGTGTCACACACACACACACACAACACAACCACAGATCACACATGTCCATGAGCCTGAACACACACACACACACACACACACACATAAAACACAGTGTGTGTGTGTGTGTGTTCAGGCTCATGGACGTGTGTGATCTGTGGTTGTGTTGTGTGTGTGTGTGTGTTCAGGCTCATGGACGTGTGTGATCTGTGGCTGTGTTGTGTGTGTCACACACACACACACACACACACACACACACACACACAACACAACCACAGATCACACATGTCCATGAGCCTGAACACACACACACATAAAACACAGTGTGTGTGTGTTCAGGCTCATGGACGTGTGTGATCTGTGGTTGTGTTGTCTGTGTGTGTGTGTGTTCAGGCTCATGGACGTGTGTGATCTGTGATTGTGTTGTGTGTGTGATCTGTTGTTGTGTTGTGTGTGTGATCTGTGATTGTGTTGTGTGTGTGATCGGTTGTTGTGTGTGCGTGTGTGTGTGTGTTTAGGGTCATGGACGTGTGTGATCTGTGGTTGTGTTGTGTGTGTGATCTGTGGTTGTGTTGTGTGTGATCTGTGGTTGTGTTGTGTGTGATCTGTGGTTGTGTTGTTGTTGATGTGTGTGATCTGTGGTTGTGTTGTGTGTGTGATCTGTGGTTGTGTTGTGTGTGTGTGATCTGTGGTTGTGTTGTGTGTGTGTGATCTGTGGTTGTGTTGTGTGTGTGTGATCTGTGGTTGTGTTGTGTGTGTGTGATCTGTGGTTGTGTTGTGTGTGTGTGATCTGTGGTTGTGTTGTGTGTGTGTGATCTGTGGTTGTGTTGTGTGTGTGTGTGATCTGTGGTTGTGGTGTGTGTGTGTGTGATCTGTGGTTGTGTTGTGTGTGTGTGTGTGTGTGTGTGTGTGATCTGTGGTTGTGTTGTGTGTGTGATCTGTGGCTGTGTTGTGTGTGTGATCTGTGGTTGTGTTGTGTGTGTGATCTGTGGTTGTGTTGTGTGTGTTTGATCTGTGGTTGTGTTGTGTGTGTGTGATCTGTGGTTGTGTTGTGTGTGATCTGTGATTGTGTTGTTGTGTGTGATCTGTGGTTGTGTTGTGTGTGTGTGTGTTCAGGCTCATGGATGTGTGCGCCACACTGAGAACAGACCAGGAGACTAAAGTGACTCTGGTGTTTGAGCATGTGGATCAGGACCTCAGGACGTACCTGGAGAAAGTGCCGGCGCCAGGACTGCCGATCCAGCAGATCAGAGTAAGCCTCGCTCAAACACTGCGTTACAGAGATTTGTGTCAGTAAACAAGTTTATTGTGTCATATTTCACAATGTAGATCAAGTGCAAATGTTTGTTTATGGTTCAGGGATTTCATTAGTTAGATGTACAGTGAAGGAAGTTTGAGTTTTCAGACTGAGGCTAGACTTCAATCCAGCCTTTACTGTCAAACCCTGTGGTGTAAAATATGATGATCTAACGTTTTAATTTTTTTAAATCATTTAATTCAACAGCAGCATGAAAGCACTGCGCTAGTTTGAAGGAGTGCACTACCATTCAGTGTTAGTAAGATTATTTATTTTAGTTGGTCAATGGCTCAGTCTATTTCAGTTCCTCAAAACTGCAACGCTCCAACAATGCGCCTGACACACACACACACCTCACACACCTGGTTCTCAGACCAGCAGCCCATGGGCGGACAGATGGGCGCAAATGCATTTGCTATTTAAACAACGTGGCGCAGGACGTGAAAATGAAAACTGCGTCGGGCTGAATCTAGCAAAACACACTTGCGTCGCGCCTGGCGCTGCATAGCACCGAGATAGGGCCTTAAATGTTGTTTCAGGCTCTACTAGAGCAGGTTTTCCAGCTTGAATGTTGATTATTTTCCTCATATTCTCCATTGTTGCGGCTCCTCTCTTCTCAGTCTGTCAGAAACGCTCTGTTTACTTCCTGTCTCTGTGAAGCCCCTCCTTCTGAAAAGCACACTGTGCTCTGATTGGTCGGCTGGAGCAGTGTGTTGTGATTGATCGAGCGCTTCGAGTGTGTTTGGGAAATGTCCCGCCCCTTACCATAACCGCCAGTTTAACACACTACTAACTAACTCAACCAGGCCCCGCCCCTTTATTCTGCGTATGAATTATTATAATGAGGAATATTGTGACGTGTTCGTTCCCGGAAGAAACTCAAGACTACAATGGAGGCGTTTCAGAAGTTCCACTGACACTGATATAGAGAAGAACTGGAGCTTGTTCATGATCAAACAGCAACATTACACACTAAAGTTACTTGACAATAATTACACTGTAACAAGGACACAGTAAAATAAAGTGTAACCGGATGTTATTATCAGATGTTCTGTGTGTATGTTTGCAGGACTTGATGCAGCAGTTGCTGTGCGGTTTGACGTTCTTGCACTCGAATCGGGTTCTCCATCGGGACCTGAAGCCGGAGAACATCCTGGTGACGAGCAGAGGACAGGTGAAACTGGCCGACTTCGGTTTGGCTCGGATCTACAGCTGTCACATGGTGCTCACACCAGTGGTAAGAGACGCGTGGCTCGTACACACACACTCACACACACACGCGCACACATCTGATGGTGTTTCCTCCGCTCAGGTTGTGACGCTGTGGTATCGCTGTCCTGAAGTGCTTCTTCAGACCACATACGCCACACCTGTGGACATCTGGAGCACCGGCTGCATCTTCGCTGAGATGTTCAGACGCACGTGAGTCAGTGATGCTCGTCGTCGTAATGTATGGCGGCAAATCAATGACTAAAATAAGCGAGCGCACAACTGATGCTGGCGCGCGAGGTAAATGACTTCCACGAGACGGTAACAGATCTACACGCGAGGAAACGGGAACTCGCGATTGTCAAATGTCATTGGTTACTTCCCCTTTTCCGGAAGTCAGTTGTGATTGGACGCCTGTCCAATGACCCGTAATGAGACATGAGACATCACTTAATTTGTTTTATTTATTGTGGTTTATTAATGTGTAATGTGATTTAATGCATTGTTAATATAGAATCGATTCTTCCCAGATACTATATTAACAGAAAGTCTTACTAGTAGGGTTGCCACCTTCAATACAAAAAAATAAGGGACGCCTGCCGGCGGCCGCAGCGGGGGCCAAAGCCCTCGGGGCCACAATGACCACAGGCCCGACGGTATGCCAATGGTATCATAACTCAAAACATATTTTTCAGGAAAGTAATAAGATCATACCAATGGACATTATAATAAGCTATCTGCTATTGAAATCATTGTGAATAAATCACTCTCTATCACAAACAACGTTAACAAAGTGTGACAATGAGATTACAAAAAAAATTGCCTTTCGTCGGAGTTGTATGTGAGATGTTAACTTATTAACTTATTAAATTAACAGATCCATAACTTATTCACTATAAATTAAACAAATGTGTTGATACTCAAACAAATACTAAATTTGATTGGAAAAAACTATGACTTTAGCAAAGGATCTTGAACATCAAAAACATCAGTAGACCAGTAGTACTGTGCAGTATTGGACTATAGGCGTTAAGTGTACTTGTCACTCCGTGCAGCACTGAGTAGCTGTTTCTTTCAAACATGTAACACCATCCAAACAGTGATACCACACATAAATAACCTATAATCTACAAACATTTCTAAATTTAATTATAACACTATTTTTATTATTGGTAAGAAAATCTATTTATGTATTTATTTATTTATGTATTCAGACCTATTGACCTATTCTCTAGATTTGTTAAGCATAAGTCATTTTCTTCACACATGCACATTTTTATTATTAAATATCTCTCTCTCTTATTTAAAAAATGCATGTGTCTGACTACCTTAACTATAATAAACAAATCATACCATAATGTATGGATATAATTCATTTACATTGAAACATTATTTCTTAGCAAATGGGCATAGGGTATGGAGCATATGAAAACGTAATCAATCAGAACATTATTGAGCTGATTAAAAAACTGTCATTACACTATGACTATCTGCTTCGGGAGATCCTTAACGTATGAAGAACTGTGAGACGGTGCTTTGATTTCTCTAAGCTAGCATTGCTATCAACTCTCTGCCAAAAGACCCGCCCTCCTCTGACTCTGATTGGCCCTGAACCTGATGTTATTAAACAAACCAATCAAACCAACAATGGCAGCGAGTATTACCCAATCAAGGGTAGAATAGGACGAGTCTTCACAGAATGCGGGTGTTATGATTTGCATGTGATGATGCATTTAAGACAACTCGGAAATACGGGACAAACCGCGTCCCGTATTGATTCAAAACGGGACGCGCTGTTAATTTCACAAATACGGGACGATTCCGTATTTTAAGGGACGGGTGGCAACCCTACTTACTAGTGATTGCATTGTGTTGTTAAGAGATATTTACAGACTGTAAAGACGCATATCCATGGTTATTAGCATTGCAAATGTACCAAAATTTGTATACATTTTTACGTAATATAAATGGTGCGTTATATTTTCTATTAAATGTAAAAGGGGTTCTGGCTTCTCAAGTTAAGATACAGTCCACAGCATGAATTATAGCTTACAAATGCCTTTTCAGAATTTGCTACAGAATACAGAGGAAGATATTAGAGATATTAGTTGATGCAGCTTTGCTTAATGACCTTTAATGTTGACCTTTCTAATGCTCGTCTCGTCTAATCCTGTCGATTAGTTGGCTCATTAGTCGTGATTTGTGTGGTTTTTCAGACCGCTCTTCTGTGGAGATTCAGAGGTGGATCAGCTGGGGAAGATTTTTGCGTGAGTAAAAACACACACACTTGTGTTGGAGAGACACTGAACACACAACACGTGATTAGTAACGAGTCGTGTTGATTGACAGGGTGATCGGCCTGCCGTCGGAAGAGGAGTGGCCGAATGATGTCACTCTGTCCCGTCAGAACTTCAGCCCTCAAAACCCTCAGCCAATCACAGACTGTGTTCCCGAGATCAGCGAGAAGGGGGCGGAGCTCTTATTGGTATGTTTACAGTCAATATCACTTCACATACAGCTAGTTTTACCATAGTAAAAACTGAAAACGAAGTAAATGAGCTATTAAATATGATTTTTTTTTTTTTTTAGAGGTGAAGAAAGGATTATATATACAGTACCGGTCAAGTTTGGACACATTATTATTTAATTAAGATTTAAGTCTCTTACGCTCATCAAGCCTGCTTTTATTCGATAAAAAAAACTGTATTATTGTGAAATATTATTATATAATAATAAACCAAAATTATAATATGCTGCTTTTTTCAGGATTATTTGTTGAATAAAAAGTTAAAGAACAGCATTTATTTCAAATAGAAATCCTTTGTAACATTATACACTACCGTTCAATTTTGGGGTCAGTTATTTTTTTTGTTTTTTTTTTGTGAAAGAAATTAGTACTTTTATTCAGGAAGGATTTGTTAAATTGATAAAAAAAAAAGTGACTTATATTGTTAGAAAATATTTATATTTTGAATAAATGCCGTTCTTTTTAACTTTTTATTCATCAATGAATCCTGAAAAAAGTATCAAAGGTTCCAAAAAAATATTAAGCAGCACAAATGTTTCCAGCATTGATCAAAACGAGGCATCAGATCCTCATATTAGAGTGATTTCTGAAGGATCATGTGACACTGAAGACTGGAGTAATGATGCTGAAAATTCAGCTTTGATCACAGGAATAAATTACACTTTAAAATATATTAAAGCCATTATTTTAAAATTGTAATAGTATTTCACAATATTACAGTTTTTTCTATATTTTTAATAAGAAAAATGCAGGCTTGGTGAACATAAGAGACTTCTTTCAAAAACATTAAAAATATTAAAATGTCTCCAAACTGCACACACACACACACACACATAAAAAAAAAAAAAACCTTCATGCTGAAATAAAAAAATAAGTGAATTTTTAAATATATTTTATATTTCAGCTGGTTGCAAGACATCATTTATCATTTTCATTTAGATGAACTGGAAGTACTAAAATAAATAAAACTGAAATAAATATGTCTATAGTTATGCTTTTTTATTTCTGTTTTAGTTTGATTTATTTCCAGTTAGTAATTTTAGTGTGTCAACTTAAACCTATTTCAGTTTATAAGGCAACATTTCTAATTTATTTAATTTCTCAACTAATATTTACTATTTAGTTTTATACCAGCTTTATTTGACTGAACAGAAATGCTTGTAATAGTTTTGAGGAAAATAACCCTGATAATAACTGCAGTTGCCTCTGATCTGAACGACGGATGTTTTGAACGGCTCAGATCATCTTGTGACTCTTGATCTCCTCAGGAAATGCTGACGTTCGACCCGTTGAAGCGGATCTCGGCGCTGAACGCTTTGGACCATCCGTTCTTCACAGAATGAGCGCTTCATTCCCATAATGCACTGCAGCCTGGGACCAGCAAGAGTGCTTCTCTACCACATACCTAAAAACTGAATATTCAACCGTAGCCGTGTGTGTGTGTGTGTGTGTGTGTGTGTGCAAACGTGTCTGTGACTGTAGTAATCACCTTCAGTGCCTGTGGCGTTTCGTACGTGATGATGATGATGATGATGAGGAAGATTCGAGCGTCATGTTGGCCTGTGATGATAGAGTGTCATATTTCTCTTCCTTTCAGTGTGAAACATTATCATTAGCAGGTGTAAACGTCCTTCCGCTCGTATCCCTCATCCAGCATCTGATTCCTCTGAGTAAACGAGTGAACCGGCCCCTAAGACTCACGGATCTCTGAGCCAGGAACGGCTGACGTCAGTGATCGGGTTGGGATCATGTCTGACGCCAAACCACACCAGCATAAAGTGTCCACACCGATTTCTATTCATTCCATTTCACCTGAAATAAAATGCTTTCGTTTATAAATATGTGTGTTTTTTTAATTCAATTATTCTTCATGCTCTAAAAAGCGTCTGATTATTCTATCAGATCTGGTGATGATGACGGAGTTTGAGATGACATAATATTGAGATTTCAACTAGTAAACGGCTGGGAATTTTCATCAAGTGTTGTCGTATCAAAGTTACGGTAAAGAACATGGCGTAAATGGATTTTTTTTTTTTTTTTTTTTTTTACAAAAAAGAAGAGTATGTTACAAATACTACAGTACACAAGAAAATACAACACATGTAGAGTTGCACACTACTGTAGATCTACATAAACACATTGTAACATTTGTACATTTTCCAACTTTTAACTAGTTTTTGCTTCATAGACAGTCAAAATAAAGCTACATTTCTTAAATGATGTAAAACAGGGTTTATAGGAAAAGTTACGTTTGTGAACAAGGAACTGTGCTTTCCACAGTTCTCCAAAAGACCTTTGTCACATAATGCTCTTAATGCTATAACAATGTTTAATGTAAAATAATACAAATATTCACACAGCATTATTCGAATCATATCACGTGACCGATATTGTTGTGGCATTTTTTTTGCATGTTTAAGTCAGAATTGTAACATTTTAAAAAGTTTTTTTTTTTTTTATAATGTTATATATATATATATGTGTATATATATATATATATTAGCATTTTTTCTACATTTTTAAACATTTTAAAAATGTAGAAAAAATGCTTAAGTTTTTTTTTTTTTTTTTTTAAGAGTTTTTAAAGTACAGATCTTTCAACAGCAGGAGAAAAAACGAGTTCAGATCCGGGGGAAACGACTGGGAGTGGGACTGTAAGTATCAGAAGCGGGTCCTGGCCATACATTTAGGTAGGGCAGATTCTGGGTCTTAGCGCTAGTTTATGATTAACATTTTGTAAGCTTTTATATCCTAAACGCTGAACACACCAGACACACTTTTGTCAGTATTGTAATGCGCTGCTCAGCCTGAGAGTGGCGCTCTGACGCATCTCTGACAGCAGATGGCGCTGTTTGTCGGCTAACATCAAGTAATAATGAAGAGATGTATTTTTTTTATTAACATTAATTAACAAAGAATAACTACTGTATAAAATGTAGCTATTGCTCATTTTTAGTTAATGTTAGCCTACTTAATTAATTAACCTTAACTAATGGGACCTTATTGTAAAGTGTTAACTTACTGTTCTTTATAGTTATTTTGCACTTTTAATCTGTTTGAAACATTTGCTTGCTTTATACATTTTGTTGTGTATGTATTGTTTTATTGTATATTTAAAGGTCCAGAGTTCTCTTTTTTTTTGTCAATGTTATTAAACCTGTTAGGAGGACAACACTTTATTCTAACCCAATTCAATGCCTACCATATAAGCTCACTCTCAGAATAAAAGGTACAAAAGCTGTCACTGGGACGGTACCCTTTAAAATTATTCTAATATGTATCATTTAGATAGTAAAATGTACACTTTTGGTACCAATATGTACCTATGAGGTACTAATGCACTGTTTAGGTGCATATAAGTATTAGCATATTAACCTTTTGTACCTGTCTACCGCCGCAGTCAGTGACAGCTTTTGTACCTTTTTTTTCTGAGATCGTACCATGATAAAAGCTTCGTTAAATGACGCTTTGTTTAAACTCCTAATGTGCTACTTGGGAGAAAAGTAAGTAAATCCCAGAACTCAGAGATTGATCATATTTTCATATTTTAGAAGGATTTGAGTGAGGATATGAGGAGAGCTAAAACATAAAAAAGGGGTTTCTGAACACTTACGATTGGGTCTTTGATTGATCAACACAGAAAAACAAGTGGGAATTTAATTTAATGTGAACAGTCAAGTCACCTTCATTTGTACAGTGCTTTTAACTAAATAGATTGTTTCAAAGCAGCTTTAAAGCGATAATAGGAAAAGAGCCACAGAACACACGTCTAACACGGTCCGTGTATCTTTTGGTCATTTGATTTCCTGTTTGGAATGGAATAACGAGAAATGAAATCCAGCTCGTTTATTCGTTTTTTTGTTTAGTTTAAAAAACGAAAAATTAGATTTTGGCTCGATTTTTCATTTTTCGTTTGTGGTTTACAAATCGGTTTATGGGTTCGATATTTCATTTGCACACGTGGGCGGCGCTGAAACGCCCCTTTCATCTGATTGGTCAAACCGCTCCGCCTTCAGTACAAGCTTTTCTTTCTGTCGGGCAGAATAAGAGTATTAATAAATGCACTTTAATAAAACAATGTCTGAAACCACCACTCACTGTTAACTACGCACAATATTTGAAGCAGAAATGTTGCTGGTAATGGGGGCTCTGCGACCCCAGTAATGTGAGCCACAGTAGACCTATGACAGATTATTTTAGCATTTCCCATTGATAAATACAGTGCAAATAGTTCCGTCTCTTTGGATAAAAGGGAAGTGGAAATAAAAATCAATAATAGGCTGAACTGTAACATGATAATATGTTCATAACATTTACCACTCTCGTATTTTATTTACATCAAAAGGTGTGTGTGTGACATGCACAGTATATGCCTAAATAATTTTGAAAATTGAATAGAAATAAAGTTTATATTTATAAATGTAAGCATAGGCTATAGCCTACTCGGTTCACATGAAAAGAAAGAGACAGAAAAGAGAGAAGCTAGAATCAGTGAACGTACAGAACGTAGGCTAGGCTACTTTCAAAATTAGCAGGGTTTGGGATTAATTAAAATCATGACAGTTGAAGAGCACGGCATACCTTTAAAATGTTATTAGTTTCATTATAAAACTAATACAATTTTATTACATACTGAATTGGTCGATGTTTCTCTGAGTTCTGTTTATTATGTTGGCTTGAGAAAGCATATTTAAACGTTATTATTATTATTATGAGAAATTGACTCCGCCTAGAACTTTAATGCTTCACCAAACTCAGCTCAGACCTTCAGACTGGTCTGACTCGCTTATATCTTTTTCTAACTGGTCAGACTTACTTTCCCAAAAAAATCCATTGACTTGCGTTATCTGAGCAATGGGCGTAATACTTAATGCTGTCCACTAGAGGGGGCGACAGGATAATACGTCTTTCTACTCTTTTCCTGTTTGCATCAGTTGAAATGACAAATAAAAGCATGAATTTCATTCATAAATAGGCCATATCTGTGTATGAGAACAAGCTTTACATTTCAAGCTGTAAAACTAATTAAAACTTGAACCCTACTTCAAAGTTTGCCACTCTATAGTTTCTTTTAAGATATTGTTAGTTTTTGCATTTAATATTAGTCCATCTGGAACTTTTATTTGTCATGAGCTCTATATTTTAAGATGTACTAGAAAAAATATGATTCAACAACAAAAACTCTGTTTTAACTCGGCAAATGTGTTTTCCTTTCAAGGCTATAGCCTACAAGTTAGCCTGCTTTTTGCCATGGCTTGCCATACTGCCCAGAATAAACTATATTTTCTCCACACGAGATGTTTAAAAACCCTGCATGTAGTTTTTGTGAAGACGAGCGCATATCTTACAATATCTTACAAAGGTTCTATCGATCTATCTATCTATCTATCTATCTATCTATCTATCTATCTATCTATCTATCTATCTATCTATCTATCTATCTATCTATCTATCTATCTATCTATCTATCTATCTATCTATCTATCTATCTATCTATCTATCTATCTATCTATCTATCTATCTGTCGGACTGACTATATGAAAAACTTGAATGCAAACATTTATGCACAAATATATCTTAAATAACAGTTTAAAAAAAGGTGGTCTGCTATATTTCACAAAGGAAGCCCATTTGTGTGTTATACGAGAAGGACATAGCCTACTGTAAAATTAGCTGGTTTACGTAAAAATGCGGATTGATCATTGCACAGTTATTCCAGACGCCTCCCCGTGCTATTCGTATTGGAATTGTGTAATCACAGATTATGAACGGATGTTTTACACAACAACAAGGATATATTCCCATTGGGTTTTCATGTTTTATGGGAACTTTAGACATCATGATTTTTATACTGTACAAACTGTGTTATCCCCTAACTCTAATGTAACCGTTATGGGTAGGTCATCTACGGACATCTACGGACATATTTTATCATGGTACAGTTCAGTTATTGATTTTTTTTTTCCTATTCCCTTTTATCCAAAGAGACGGAACTATTTGCACTGTATTTATCAATGGGAAATACATCATGCTAAAGTAATCTGTCATATAGGTCTACTGTGGCTCACATTACTGGGGTCGCTTGCAAGTCGCAGCAGCACGAGTTACGTGACCAGCAATATCTCTGCTTCAAATATTGTGCGTAGTTAACAGTGAGTGGTGGTTTCAGACATTGTTTTATTAAAGTGCATTTATTAATACTCTTATTCTGCCCGACAGAAAGAAAAGCTTGTACTGAAGGCGGAGCGGTTTGACCAATCAGATGAAAGGGGCGTTTCAGCGCCGCCCACGTGTGCAAATGAAATATCGAACCCATAAACCGATTTGTAAACCACAAACGAAAAATGAAAAATCGAGCCAAAATCTAATTTTTCGTTTTTTAAACTAAACAAAAAAAACGAATAAACGAGCTGGATTTCATTTCTCGTTATTCCATTCCAAACAGGAAATCAAATGACCAAAAGATACACGGACCCTAACACACACATTGTCTCACAAAACTGGTCTGAATGTCTTTAATAAGAATACAAAATAAGGAGACTGCGCCGCTTCTCTTCCGCCAGGGGGCGCACGCGCACGCACGCTCGCGTCACGATTCGAGACGTCACCACGCCGATGACGCAGGCGTGACGTAGCGCGGATGTCCCAGAATGCCGCTGTCTGCCAGCGCAACAGTGATCAATGGTCAGGCTTGTCGGATAAACCGGTGATTAAACGCGGTAAATGCCACAGATCAGCGGGTGATCGAAGCTGGACATCGCTTCACGTGACAGTTCATGAGTAAATGAGATCTACTTAGAGAAATCATCTTCATCTTCATCATCTTCAGAGCTGAAGACAAACCCAGCAGGTAAAATCATCACAATAACATCACGATCGGTGTGAGAATCACAGATTGTCATCAGGCACAGTTTCATCTGATGATCATAGTCGAGATTAACCAGTTCCTCAACAAACATCATCATCACTATCACTTCTCTGATTAATGTTATGATCATAGTGAACGACAATCACAGCTGTAAAACACGTTACAAACACACACTCAAAAAGACAACTGTCGTTTTTTAATTTGCTTGTAGTAACGTGTATATCGAGGTGAATGTGATCGTTCAGTACAATCTCAGTATTTCTGTGATGTAACATCACTGAAGTTAGTTTTCCTCAACTGTGGTCACTTCAGAAAATAAACCAGAGAGAATGTCAAAAGTGTTTATTCAATTCATTCACATACACCATAACATTACCAGCACAGTTCAAATTAATTGATTAGCAAAACCTAGTGGTGGAATTAACATTCTTAAAGGGACAGTTCACCCAAAAATGTAAATTCCGTCATTAATTACTCACCCTCATGTCGTTCCAATCCCGTAAGCCCTTCGTTCATCTTCAGAACACAAAGCAAGATCTTTCTTGATGAAATCTGAGACATTTCTGTCCCTCCATTGACAGTCTACACAACTACCACTTTCAACCCCTAGACCAACCTACTAGAGCAGGTTTTCCCGCTTGAATGTTGATTATTTCCTCATATTCTCCATTGTTGCGGCTCCTCTCTTCCCAGTCTGTCAGTAACGCTCTGTTTACTTCCTGTCTCTATGAAGCCCCTCCTTCTGAAAAGCACACTGTGCTCTGATTGGTCGGCTGGAGCAGTGTGTTGTGATTGGTCGTGCGCTTCGAGTGTGTTTGGGAATGTCCCTCCCCTTACCATAACAACACACTACTAACTAACTCAACCAGGCCCCGCCCCTTTATTCTGCATATGAATTATTTAAATGAGGAATATTGTGACGTGTTCGTTCCCGGAAGAAACTCAAGACTACAATGGAGGCGTTTCAGGAGTTCAGAAACACTGAGACTGATATAGAGAAGAACTGGAGCTTTTTAATTCTCAAACTGAAACATTTACACACTAAACACAGATGGAAACAACAGGTGTTCTTTAACCCAACCTTAAACCACCAAACCTGTATCACCTCAATAGGCCTTTATCTTCATCGCATTCGAAAAGCTGAAGCTTTAAATAGGGGCGTAAAAACCGTCCCCTCCAGCCTGTATCCACAGCTGTGCCCATAGCATGGGATTGTTGAGATTTGTTTTTGAGTATTGTGAAACCAAGAAAATATGTGTCATAATATTCTGACGCAAATTTCGTGATTTAAAGGGGAGCGCGCTGTATGTGTGTGCGCAATACTTCCGAATCTGATCACCTTACTTTATTTTTATGCAGAACTGCAAGAAAAGAATACAAACAACATTAAAACAGCATTAGAATTAGACAAATCTTAAAATATTAATTACGACTAAAGTCTATTTTGTGCGGATGAAATTAAAGGTTGGGGGAAACTTATTGTATTAAACAATAATGTTCGCTTTTTAATGCACTTACATTACGCTGCTATCATCCAATTGAAATGGTTTAAATAAAGGAATATTTCCAGCCCATAGACGATTATTCAGAAATAACCAGTTTGATCATCGTAAACGTATCCTTGTTTGAGTGCAGTGATACTGTAGACAATAATAGGTGGTAATAATATAATGCAAAAATAAACAAAATAACATTAAAAATCAAAGTAAATCATTCCTCTGGCAGTAACTCGAGCTGCTCGTTAATCTCAGCTGACATTCGTGTCTCTCAGATCATGTTACACATTAGAATGAAAGATGGCATACATGGTAGGGTATCATGTCAATATTTAAAACTGTTTATTTAGACTTATGTTTATTGTTAAGTGAAACTAAATGAGTATAATTTTCTTCTCAAAACATTGACAATAATACAGGCGGAAATTTCTTTACGCTGTTAACCAGAGCAAGATGTGACACGCGGACTGTGATAAAGAGTTGTGCAAAAAAACATCAACCGAATAAGTACATTCAACCTGATTTTCTTATTATCACTGTAAAGCTGCTTTGAAACAATCCATATTGTTAAAAGCGCTGTATAAATGAAGGAGACTTGACTTGACAGTAGTAGTTAAAAACACCTGATATTAATAAAGTGCGACTCTCTATTTTCTGGGATAAGGATCAAACAATAAGATCTTTAAACATTTGAAAAAGTAGCACCAATACATGTTGAATGGATGATATCAGACTGTAATCTGTGAGTTGAACTGGAGCTGATGTCATGATGATGTCACTGTGTGTTTCAGGGCAAATGGCCAGTCCCAGAACCAAACGTGTGCTGAAGGAGGTGCGGACCGAAGACGAGAACAATGTGAGTGTCTGTCAGCATGTGAAGGAAAATGAAATTTAGCAAATGAAAATTAGCCCATGATTTACTCGCCCTCAAGTAATCCTAGGTGTATATGACATTCTTCTGTCAGACGAATACAATCAGAGTTATATTAAATGTCCTGGCTCTTCCAAGCTTTATAATGGCAGTGAATGGCTGTTTCTGTTTTGAAGTCCATAAAAGTGCATCTATCCATCATAAAAGTGCATCTATCCATCATAAAAGTGCATCTATCCATCATAAAAGTGCATCTATCCATCATAAAAGTGCATCTATCCATGATAAAAGTGCATCTATCCATGATAAAAGTGCATCTATCCATGATAAAAGTGCATCTATCCATGATAAAAGTGCATCTATCCATGATAAAAGTGCATCTATCCATGATAAAAGTGCATCTATCCATGATAAAAGTACATCTGTCCATCATAAATGCATCTATCCATGATATAATATGGATTATAATATAATATAATAATATGGATAGATGCGCTTTTATGATGGTCAGATGCACTTTCATGATGGATAGATGCACTTTTATGGACTTTAAAACAGAAACGGCCATTTTACTGCCATTATAAAGCTTGGAAGAGCCAGGATATTTTTCAATATAACTCCGATTGTATTCGTCTGAAAGAAGAAAGTCATATACACCTAGGATGAGTTGAGGGTGAGTAAATCATGGGCTAATTTTCATTTTTGGGTGAACTGTCCTTTTAAAGCGTTGTGTGTGTGTATGTGTGTGTGGTCAGGTGTGTTTCGAGTGTGGAGCGTTTAACCCGCAGTGGGTCAGCGTGACGTACGGGATCTGGATCTGTCTGGAGTGTTCTGGGAGACACAGAGGCCTCGGCGTCCACCTCAGGTCAGACTCACATTTTGATGCATTTCAGAATCTTTATTTGTCATTATACAAACGAGAACAATAAAATTGTATATAATCCTATTCAGCACAAAATCAATCAATCTCTCACTTTACAAGCAATTATCCTCTGTGCAATTATCCTATATAACAAATTTGACAAATAAGTGAGAATGGTAAACAGTAAACTGGAATGTATATGTAAGCAATAATGTATGAGAGGCTGTGCTGTATCGTGTATAAGTCACGCGCCGGCTGAAGGGCGTTGTTAGCCTCGACGCGAAGCGGAGTTAGCCGTGACTTATTCACGATACAGCACTAGCCTCGAGTACCTTATTGCTTTTATAACACGGTTACCACACAATACAAATATTAAATCTGAAAAATATGTATCTATGCAACTTTCATGAATTAAAATCACTAAAAGCCTTCCTTCCGCTGGAAAAAATAGTCCCTGACCGTGAACAGCAACAGAAGTTACACACATTATTTGGCCAATAGATGGAGACAAAGACCGTCTTTATGAGTCAGTCAGTCAGTAGAGAAGACTTTTATATAGAAAGGACTCAAACTTGTGATCACGGAGAAGGAAGACGCAACTGACAGAAGACTATCCAATATTATCTGCCTGCAGTCCCGGAGGCTGCATTTTCAGGACCCCACTTCTAGGACCGCATTTCTAGGACCCTAGTTTTTTTGTGACAGCGCCACCTACCGAGTCGGAGAACCGCAGTCCCAGGAACGCATTTCCAGGACCCTAGTTTTGGAGGAACGAAAAAAGTGCCACCAAGGCAGTATCTCCACCCAGTTTTAACTACATTAGAGTTTTTTAAAAAGTTTTATTACACCCAAATACTACTTTCTTTATTGCAATTAAACCAGGTTCCTAGGAATGTTGAGAAATTGGGTCTAAGTAGCATACTATAATATAACTCAAGTAAAATAAACAAGGAATCATGTTATAGCCTTTTCAGTCACTCGATGGACCACATTTTCAAGTACAGAGGGAAGACAAGGATGACTCAGGGGGTAGATTGATTGTGTATTTTACAAAATAATATATAACACTTGAACTTGAACACACAAAATATTTTACAAAATAATATGTAACAACTGAACTTGAACACACACAAAAACAAATTTGATCATGACGTGAACCACTTCAATGGATGGACAAACACATGGACAACATCATCACTGACTCCTAAGAGAGAGAAAGAGAAGTGAATTAAATAAGGAACATTTAGTTGAACATGTTCTACTCTCTAATTTTAAATTTCATATTTAAAAGATCTTAGTTACCACAGAGTAATGATAATGATAAAAAATAATGATATCAATCTTCATACCAATTACTGTTCATAATACAATTATTGCATACTGTTCAAAGATTTGGAAAAAAAAAATGATTTTGATGTTGTGGGAACAAAGGTTCTAGAAACACTCATGTCAATAAAGCCCATCTGAACTGAGAAAAAAATAATAGAGAGAGATGCAAGAAATCTGAATAGAAATAACATTATTGACACGACTTTTCCTGACCATATATAAGTAGGCCTATACAGTAAATGACACAATCTAACACGTGGGATTTTAACAGTCAATTATTATAATGGCCTCTCTGATATGTCTGACTATTAAAATGTCATATGTCTCAACCAACTTTATAAAACCATGTCAAAATGAAGAGACGTACACATAACATGTATTGTGGGTAACGTTAACAGGCTTACTGTGAGCACGTGACAGTGAAAACATTACGATTATTTTAACTGAATTAAAATGGAAAAACAATGAGTAATTAACAAGCTTTCAGAACGAACATGGTACAGTTTATTGTGCTGTAAGTAAGTCAACACAGGCTTAGCCTATCATGCAACAGCTCCGTTAAATGAACCGTAGTATTTCATTTTCCAGCATTAGAGGCTAGTATATGATGGCTATGCATTCAAGACTGTTTAGCAAATCACCAGCACGTTGGCAACGTTAACTTTCCAATGAAATGCATCACAATTGTTTTTAAAGTTAAACAAATAAAAATTGATTCGCATTTGATACTCACACTCTGAATGTCATCCATTTTCGCTGGTCCTCTAATTCGGTAGGTGGCGTTGTCACTAAAAACCTAGGGTCCTAGAAATGCGGTCCTAGAAGTGGGGTCCTGAAAATGCAGCCTCCGGGACTGCAGGCAGATGCTACTCAGACTATCGGCACGGGAAAACCCTTAACTGGTAAAAAGACAAGATATCGCAGCGGACATTTAAACGGATGTTTTTATTATGAATATAGGACTGACCTGAAGGAAAATGCTATGTCTACTGTAAATGCAGGTACACTCGCTTACTCGATCTCTCAATACTCTACTCTAGCTTTAATGAACAATATCAATGAGATCAAACATCTCATTTTGTTTACGTGTTTACGTTGCTAAGAGTGGTTGCTAGGGGTGTTGTGTAGTGATACATAGAACCGTTGAGTGAGGCGGTTATAGCCGCGTTTATCGTGAAAAAAAACAGCTATTGACCAATCAGAATCAAGGATTGGAACTAACAGTTTTATAAATGTGTGTGTGTATGTGTGTATATATATATATATATATATATATTAGGGGTGTGCAAAAAAATCGATTCACATTTGAATCGCGATTCAATCTTTACCGATTCAGAATCGATTCATAGAATTCCAAAAATCGATTCATTTTTTTTTTTTTTTTAATGGCGTGCACGGGTGGAGTGGCAATCGGGTGAGTCGGGACTTTTACCAGTGGTCCGGTAGTGTTTCGAGGCTGCGAGGGCCGGTCTGATTATACATTGCAAGTTCTTGCCGCCCGCTGGTCAAACTGTGCAGCCTCTCTGCTCAACCCGTGAATAAATGCATCGATCCGCAGATCTTATGTTTGAGTTCTGTAGATCTTTTGCCAAGCGTGTCAGAGGTTACGGGTTCTAAACCGCACTCGTATAGTGTTTTCTCTCTCTCATCAAAACCGAATATGTTCATCACGTTTGTGAGCATTTTATTTTGTGATTTTACCGGAGTCTCCACAACGGCGATAGATTAAAGCGCGCGTCCGAGTGAAGACTGCGCGAGCCACAGAGAACACTGTATCCATGACACTGATAGCAGCGGACACGAGCGCTCAGCTTGATTTCAAAAACAACAGATCTCTTAATAGCGAACTAAATAAATGCTCTGCTAGTTAACTGGAGATACCCGCAAATTACGCCTATGAACGACTTCACTGGATCTAAACAAATCAATCTAACCATAGATGTTACCAGTAGCGGTGGCTTTTTTTTTATCTATTTAAAATAATTTCGCAAGGGTTCTATCGACATTAGTATATATTTTTAGGAAGTTCAATGTGCCCAGTCGAGTTCACATTTCAACAGTCAGCCTGGTAGCTGAAGTAGTCCTTAAACCACATTTAGCATAATTGTTTGTTTGATCTGACTACAGCACTTTAAAGCTAAATGTAAAAGCTTCTGTTTAAGTTTTATTTTAAACTTGAATTAAATGTAAGCTGGCCAAACCTTGGCACTTTGCACTTTTTAGTTGCAGAAGTTTTTATTTTTGTATGAAGTCATATAAAGTAATATCAAACTACATTTAATTTGCTGTGTTTTTTTTCTTTTAAATTGTGTCTACTGCAATCAATCACAGGAAAAAGTAAACTACATTTATATACTGCGAATCGTTTTTTGAATCGAGAATCGTTTTTGAATCGAAAATCGATTTTGAATCGAATCTTGAGACAAAAAATCGGTATCGAATCGAATCGTGACATTTTCTGAATCGTGCACCCCTAATATATATATTTATTTATTTTGTAAATTGAGGAGATATTTTAAGCATATGACTATACATAATTACAAAAAAAAAAAACATAATTGGTGAGCTCCGTCTTCCTCCTCATAGCTTTGTTCGATCTGTTTCGATGGACAAGTGGAAGGACATCGAGCTGGAGAAGATGAAGATGGGAGGGAACAGGAAGTTCCGCATGTTCCTGGAGCTGCAGGACGACTACGAGCCCGGCTGGAGCTTACAGGAGAAGTACAACAGTAAAGCGGCTGCGCTCTTCAGAGACAAGGTGAGACGCTTCACTGACGCTACACATCATCTGTTCCTTTATTAATCCGCTGAAAACCCTAATTATTAACTCTTTCCACCCCAGTATCTTGATCATGTTAGTTGTTTTATTAATCAGTTCGGTCAACACACTCACCGTGCTCTCACAGATAATCAGCTGCTGAGACACACAGTGCTTAGCATAAGTGAACACACCCATGCTAAAGTTGACTAAAAAGAGGAATCAAAAATCATCTTTGAATGAATAATGTATCGTAAATAAATAAATGTTCTTCCTTAAAATACAGAGTGAATAAGTCAGGACACCCCTGTGTTAAATCCCCATAGAGGGGCAGATTTATATTTTTAAAGGCCAGTTATTTCATGGATCCAGGACACTATGCATCCTGATAAAGTTCCCTTGGGCTTTGGGATTAAAATATCCCACATCACACACACCCTTCACCACACCTAGAGTCTGCATGGGGTACTTTCCAATAAGATCATCTCTCAATGCAAATCAAACCAGCTATTAGACTAACTGAAATATAACCATGTCTATATGGTGAAGGGTGTGTGATGATGTGGGGCTATTTTAATTCTAAAGGCCAAGATAACTTTATCAGGATGCATAAAGTTGCCAAAAAAATGCCAAAAAAACAAACGCATTCAAATAAAATAAATAAATAGTTTTAACAGTCAAATGAACAGGTCATAGACTCCAGTTGAATTCCTTCTGGGACAGCAAATAAATAATGGGAACAATAACACATCAGGCAAGAAATGCTGTTCGTAAACATTGTGCCCAAATTAAAGAAACGGGAGAGGGAATTGTTTTATTTTATTTTATATTTTTATTTATTAATTTACTTTAGTTACTTTTTAAACACCAACTGGCATTTTAGAAAATCTAAATTTAAGAATCTAAATAAACATTTAAATTTGTATTTCACGAAACAGAACATTTTACTATTTAAAATTTAAATAAAGTCTATTATTAATAATGGAATAATAAATATTATTAACCATTATTTTTTTCTTAGAGTTAATAATTACGGTTTTCAACTGGTTAATCATTCCAGCCCAGTGTTTTGTTTTCAAGTTGCCAGCCAACGGTAGCATTTTTGATCATATTCACAAAACTCCCAAAATATTTTGTCATTGTAGCCGTTTCCTCTTAATGGGTTCGATTTTTCATTTGGTAACGTTAGGGAGTTTATAGGAAGTTGTTTGATGATCATGTTAGCTTCTGGTCTGTGTCTGAAATCGCCTCTTTAGTCTTAAATAGGGCACTATATGAGGGAATAGACATTTGTATTAAGTCTGTAACCATAGTGGACATTATAAAGTGCACTCATCCAATCCCACAATGCACTGCAACAACGAGTGTACATCTGATCATAGCATCCGATGTACGCTCATCGGCTGGAGAATACCCATAATGCACTGCGAGAGTCGCGTGCTGAATGAATTCCTGCGTCTTACCAGAAGGTGGCGCTCGCTGAATCAATCATCCATCCATTTCCCAAACCACTGATCCAGCGTAACATCATACAGGTTTAAGCTCCTTATTAATTGAGTATTAAAATGTTTAATTATACATAGTTTCCATGACAGAGTTCAAGATAAATCTGTTCATCACTACTGGAGCGGCTAGTTTGCAGAGTTTCAAATGATTATTAAACCGCAAGCACAAACTATAGAAAAGCGGCACTCAGTGTCTGACTCACTCACTCACTCACTCACTCACTCACTCACTCACTCACTCACTCACTCACTCACTCACTCACTCACTCACTCACTCACTCACTCACTCACTCACTCACTCACTCACTCACTCACTCACTCACTCACTCACTCACACACTCACTCGTCTTCATTCTCTTCAAGTGGACTACATTAGTGGACTGATGTAGGGAATAGCGAATGAGGGTATAGTGGGCGACTTCCAACACAGCCAATGTTTACACTGATCCTCTTCTTCAGTTGTTTTTGGATACGGAGATTCTCTACTCTTTGTGTTAAAGTTGTGTGGGTGTGTTAAAGGTGGTGACTCTGGCTGAAGGGAAGGAGTGGAGCATCGAGGACTCGTCTGCGAGGAACTGGACGCCTCCACAAGCCAAGAGTGGCCTGAGCGCTTCACACCGGTACGACACGCAAGTCGAGTCTAGTTTATTTCTAAAGGGCTGTACAGTTGGAGGCAGTCTGCAGAGAATGACACATCATGATAAAACAAACGTCTCTGGTTACTCACGTAACCGTAGTTCCCTGAGAGTCGGTCTCTCGACATTACGTATGGGGAACAATAAAACCCCCGCCGCGTGGGAAAAACCCCGCCCAGCTAGAACGAGCTGAGGATAGCACAAGCGCTAATCCCTATACAGCTCAGGAAACCGCCACCGGACCTGGTTGAAAACACCTCTTGGCACAGAGCCAAGTCGGCATCCGCACCAACGTGGCCCCTCCCACACAGTTAAGCAACGCTGAACTGAATGAATGGGGAATTGCAGCAAGGTGATTGGTGCTTAGGAATACACTGCCGGCTTATGAATGCGGGCATAATAATAAGGACACAATATAGAGAACAGATAGCTTTATATTGCTAATAACTCACACTTAGTCGAAACCGCGGCTAGAGTGTGCGCCATTAGGGGCATGTCTAGCCTAGTCCAATTACAGCTCAGCTTTCTCTCCCTGTACTGACAGTACATGTGGTGTGAATGAAGGAATATTCAAGTTATAGAATCTCGCAAACGTATTACGAGACGACCAGCCTGCCGCGAAACAAATGTCCTGGATAGACATGCCTTTCGCCCACGCCCATGATGACGCCAAACTCCTAGTGGAGTGGGCGTGCACCCCTACAGGGCAAACGGCTCCCTGAGAAGTATAAGCCAGTCGCACAGCCTTCACTATCCAGTGTGATAGCCTCTGTTTCGACAGCGCGCCGCCTTTCTTGGCACCCGCGTAGCAGACGAAGAGCTGCTCTGAAGTTCGAAAATGGCTAGTTCTGTTCACATAAGCACGCAGGGCACGCACGGGGCACAAAGCGTCCTTCTGAGACTCTGAAATACTGACCCTAATCGGGGCAAAATGCTGGAATTGTAACCACCTGGGCTCTGAATGGAGTTGAGAGCACTTTAGGCGAGTATCCGCGCTTGGGTAAAAGTCTGACCATGCAATCTTCCGGTCCAAACTGCATACATGCACTGTTCACTGACAGAGCCTGCAAGTCCCCCACCCGCTTACCGCAGGCTAGCGCGAGCAAAAGCGCCGTCTTGAATGAGAGAACTTTGATGTCACTAGACTCAGCTGGTTCGAAAGGCGGGTCAGACAGCGCACTAAGCACTAACGACAGGTCCCAAACCGGCATTTGACCAAGGCGGGGGGGGAAAAGCCGCCTCACTCCCCGGAGGAAACCCGTTATCAAAGGGTGTTTCCCCACTGAATGGCCATCTACATTACGACAAGCAGCAATAGCGGCCACGTAAACTTTCAGTGTAGATGGCGAACTGCCAGCATCCAGACGTTCCTGTAGGAAGGTCAAAATAATGGAGATATCGCAATTCCTGGGGTCCTCCTTTTTGTCAACACACCAGTTAGCAAACACCCTCCACTTTAGAGCGTATAAGCGCCTCGTTGAAGGGGCTCTAGCCTCTGCTATTGTCTGTAGCACCCGCTGTGATACTCCGTGCTGATCTGCCACACGTGCAGGTCCCACAGTGCAGTGGGCAGGTCCCACAGCTCCGGGTTGGGGTGCCATATGGTCCCCCTCGCCTGAGATAGGAGGTCTCTTCTCGGCGGTATCCGCCACGGGGGAAAAAGCGCCATGTTCACTAGCTCCGGGAACCACGGCTGGTTGGGCCATTTTGGCGCTACCAGAACCAACGCACATCTCTCCTCCCTGATCTTTTGCAGCACCAGCGGCATTAACTTGATCGGAGGAAAAGCATACTTCCGCCCCTTCGGCCAGCGGCTCGACAGTGCGTCTCCCTTTAGAGGGGCCGTCGTCAATGCAAAGAACAGCGGGCAGTGGGCGTTCTCCTGCGATGCAAAGAGATCGATCTCCGCTTTGCCAAACAGATTCCAGATCATGTTTACCGTCTGCGGATGAAGCCTCCACTCTCCGTGCACAATGCCATCCCTGGACAGCATGTCCGCGACGCAATTCAAACTGCCCGGCACATGCACTGCTCGAATCAACAGTAGTACTTTGTCCGTCCATAATAACACCGCCTCGCTAGCCCCTGCAGGGATCGCGAACGTAAACCTCCCTGGCGATTTATGTACGCCACCACCGCCGTGTTGTCCGTTCTGATGAGAACATGACGGTCTTTCACAAATGGGAGGTAACCACGCCGCGCTAGATGAACCGCTTCCATCTCCAAGCAGTTTATATGCCAGCGCGTCCGATCTCCTGTCCACGTACCGAATGCCAGTCTGCCATCGCAGAGGGCTCCCCAGCCTGACAGCGACGCATCCGTAGTGACCACTACACGTCTGACCACTCTGCCCAAAGCAGCTCCCTGCTCGAACATGGTCGTGCCGAACCACGGTGCTAGAGTCTCCAGGCATGAACGCGTTATAACAAGGCGTTCCGTTCCCGCTCTCCATGCCCGCGGCTGTACGCGTCCCTGTAACCAGTGCTGAAGCGGCCTCATGTGTAATAAGCCCAGTCTGCACACGGAGGCTGCAGCTGCCATTAGACCGAGTAGCCTCTGAAACGTTTTTAAGGGGATGGCTCTGCCTTGAACGAATAGGGCTAACGCACTCTGAATCGACTGGATTCTCGCCTTTGATAGCTTCGCGATCATAGTGCGTGAGTCCAGCACCATACCGAGGAATGTGATGGACTGGCACGGTTGAAGCGCGCTCTTCTGCATGTTCACAGACAGTCCCAAATCCGTCAGGTGGGCGAGGAGTCTGTGTCTGTGTTCCACAAGGACACTCTTCGAGCGCGCGATGACTAACCAGTCGTCGAGATAGTTCAGAATGCGCATTCCACTGAGCTTCAGGGGAGCAAGCGCTGCATTCATGCACATTGTAAATACACGGGGTGCCAGGGCCAGCCCGAACGGCAACACTTTGAACTGGTATGCTACACCCTCGAATGCAAACCGAAGGAAGCGCCTGTGATGCGGGGCTATCTGAATATGGAAGTATGCATCCTTTAGATCCACTGCAAGGAAGTAATCGTCGGGCTGAATGTGCGCGAGGATCTGCTTCACTGTTAACATTTTGAACGCGCGTTTCGCGAGCGCTTTGTTCTGTAATCTCAGATCCAAAATAGGGCGCATACCTCCGTCCTTCTTTGGTACAAGAAAATAACGGCTGTAGAAACCGGAGTTTTTCCGCTCTTCGGGAACTGTCTCTACTGCTTGTTTGGCCAGGAGAGAGGAGATTTCTTCCCGAAGTAACGGGGCGCTCTGTTCTGACACCTCTGTCAAAATCACACCGCCGAAGCGGGGTGGTCTGCGAGCGAATTGGAGCGTATAGCCGCGTTTTATCGTGTTTAACACCCACAGTGATGCCGTCGGTAGTGTCGACCACGCACCCAGGTGACTCGATAGGGGGGGCTTTAATGAATGCTGCGGCGGGGGCTGAGCGCCAGCCACCGGGGAAGCATTGGCCGCTACATGGAGGGCAGATGGCTCGTCCGCGGCTCTTTGCACGGGGACATAAATAGCCACCTTCTCGGGTTTCCCCGAGCTTCCGCTCTGCGAAACGTCTCCCGGGGGAGAGGTTTCGCTTATGGCGCGGGTAATAGTGTTGAGAGGAAGAAAGCTCTTTTGCTGAGACATGTAATGCACTTTGTTTATTGAAACAGAACACAGCGGTTTCAAAATCAACACATACTCGTCGAACTCTGGGCGGGAACACGCCCTCTTTGCAGCGGGTCCGACGAACACGTCCAGCGCTCTCTCCTCCCCGACACACGCATCAGGAATGCCGCTCTTTTTTGCCCGCCGGGGGTCCTTGGCTACTAGAGGCCGGCTTCGCACTGCTGCTTCCTGAACTGCCTCTGGCGGAAGGGGGGCTCTGGCTCGCGACGTTCTGCCGCGCTCGGGGGCGCGCGTCTGGTAGGTCCCGCTGTGCGCTGCGCAGAGGAAGATCTGGATCTCGCCGCCGGGGGGGCTTGAGACCGTTTCGGCAGCAGATGAGGCATCATTTTAGACTGCTTGACGGTCTCTGTGTACTTGTCGGATAACGACTCCACCGCAACACCGAAAAGGCCCGTGGGGCTTACCGGAACGTCCAGGAACTGCCTTTTGTCAGTATCGCGCATCCCCGACAGCGTTAGCCACAGATGGCGATGCAGGGCCACAAGACTGCCCATATTGCGGCCGATTCCCTGAGCGACCTTCTTAGACGCCGCCAGAGCGAGATCTGCCGCCGTGCGCAGTTTCCTGAGCAACTCAGGGTCCGGGCTTCCCTCATCCAGGGACCCTAGGAGTCGCGTCTGGAAAACCTGCAGAATTGCCATCGTATGGAGGGCAGATGCTGCATGTCCAGCAGAAGTGTAAGCCTTCTCAGCCATGTGGGCAGTAGCGCGACATGGTCTGGAAGGCAGTTGGGCGGTCTTCCAGCCAGGAGAAGACGCCAGATGAGCCGCGATGGCATCCTCGACGGGAGGCAACCGAGCGTACCCTAATTTCTCAGCCCCTTCCACTGTAGTCAGCAGCTGGGTACCTTGTGCATGGGCTCGGGCTGAGTAAGGGGAGCGCCATGATCTGGTGAGCTCCTTGTGGACCTCAGAGAAAAAGGGGGCGGGTCTCCGCGGGGCTTCAGCTTGACGGCCCGCGCCGAGGAAGGAACCGTCCATCCATCTTTTCGACGGCAGCTCCTTGGGCGCCGTCCACTCCAGCTCCATATCTGCCACCGCCTCTGAGAGAATGGCCATAAGCTCCGCATCCAAAGAGGCGGGGGCGCCTTCAGACGGAGATTCGGACCATGCTCCTGGGTCGGAGGCATTGGTGGACATGGCGTCGTCATCGTCGTATCCAAACGAGACCATTTCCCGCGCTTCCTGAGGAGGGCGGTAAGAGGCCTCAGAGTAAGTCACGGGCTCTGCCACGTGAGGATGGCGTGGGCCTTGGGCCGACGTCAGCGCCTCAACAGATCCCGCGGATGGAAATCTCTGCTGTCTCCCGGTCCGCGGCTCGACGGCGGCAGACTGGGGAGAGGCAGGAGACACAAGGTTGTCGTTACGTGTAACGGCCAGCCTTGCACGAAGGATCTTGATGGGAAGCTCCTCACAGGCGGGACATCCCGATCCCTCAAGTGCCGCCTCAGCGTGGTCCCGACCCAGGCACAGCACACAAAGTTTGTGTGCATCCGGGAATTCGATGGGTCCACCACACGTGCGACAAAGAGACATAGTATAATCCACCGGAACGCGAGAGGGGATAAAAACTCCTACTTTTACTCCGCTCTGAATGCATAAATCAAACGGTGAAACAGACTCGAGTGAAGAAAAAAGATTCTAAGGTTTTTGGCGCCCGCCGTCACCTATATTGAGCAGTGTCAGCCAATCAGGTGATGGCGGGACTGCCATTGGCTATTTGCAAGCAAAAGAGTTATTCTATCAGACTTCATGATTCGAGGAAAATGGATTTCCCTATACGTAATGTCGAGAGACCGACTCGATAAGGGAACACAAGACAAAAGTCAATATTAATAAAAAAACACCAACAAAAATAACAGAAAGCAGCGAGGAAAAGAAAAGAAAAAACCTACATACACAAAATAAAATAAGATACAACTGCCAAAATTTTAAAATCCATAGAAAACAAATGTGTTTTCAATCGAGATTTAAAATGTCAGTTGAGGGTGCAGATCTGAGGTCAGGTGAAGAGCTTTACACAAGCTATGTTTCCATCCACACGTACACATGTTTTTATCCGCTTTAAAGCCGTTTGATGGAAACACACTTTCACCAGCTTTATTCGCATGAGGTTTTTTACCGAACTTCAGATAATTCGATTGACAAGTGGATGGAAACATGGCTACAGTCTTGGGCCGGCAACAGAAAAAGCCCGATCCACTGCGGCCACCTCGGAACGAGCAAGTGATGATGATGATGATGAGTGATGTCGTCGATGATGATGATTATTAGTGATATCGCCGATGATGATGATGATTATGAGTGATGTCGTCAATGATGAATGATGTCGTCGATGATGATGAGTGATGAATGATGTCGTCTGATGATGATGATGAGTGATGTCGTCGATGATATGATGATGATGATGATGAGTGATGTCGTTGATGATGACGAGTGATGTCGTCGTCGATGATGATGAGTGATGCCGTCGATGTTGATATGATGATGATGAGTGATGAATGATGTAGTCTGATGATGATGTTGAGTGATGTCGTCGATGATATGATGATGATGATGAGTGATGTCGTTGATGATGACGAGTGATGTCGTCTATGATGATGAGTGATGTCGTTGATGATGACGAGTGATGTCGTCGATGATGATGATGATGAGTGATGTCGTCGATGATGACGTGTGATGAAGTCTATGATGATGAGTGATGTCGTTGATGATGACGAGTGATGTCGTCGATGGTGATGATGAGTGATGTCGTTGATGATGACGAGTGATGTCGTCGTCGATGAGTGATGTCGTTGATGATGATGAGTGATGTCGTCGATGATGATGATATGATGATGTCGTTGCAGGTCCAGTGCCGCTGCGGGTCAGAATCACTCTCACTCTGATAAAGCCTTCGAGGACTGGCTGTCTGATGATGTCAACTCTTACCAGAAGTGAGTTTCACTCCATTATTGATCAATCTGTTCAGTTGATACATGATTAAAGAGGACCTACAATGACCTTTAACAGTCTTCATGTAGTTTTTTGGTCTCTACTAGAGCAGGTTTATATATATATTATTATTATTATATATTAATTATATATATTCTCTATTGTTGCGGCTCCTCTCTTCCCAGTCTGTCAGTAACGCTCTGTTTACTTCCTGTCTCCATGAAGCCCTTCCTTCTGAAAAGCACACTGTGCTCTGATTGGTCGGCTGGAGCAGTGTTTTGTGATTGGTCGAGCGATTAAAGTATTATCATAGTTAACTAAAACTGTTAGAAACATTTCTGTTAATTGAAATAAAGCTGAAATAAAATATTAAAATAAGTTGAAAAACTTAACCCTCTGGGGTTAAGTTTTTCAACTAATATGCCAGTAATATGTTTATAAGCAACTGAAAAAAGCACAAATGTCAGGGCATGTCAAAACATCTCAAGGACCCCAAAAACACCTTGGTCCCCAGAGGGTTAAACTCAAATTAGAAATGTTGCCTTGACAATAAACTGAATTGAGTTGTGGTTGTAGCACTAAAATTATTTACTGGAAATAGATAACTAAAACTGACGAAAACTGAAATATAAACCTAAATAGCAATTTTAAATAAATAAAAAACTTCTAAAACGACAAAAGCACATAATGAAATTACTGACAAACTAAAATTAATGTGAAAAAAAAAGGTAATTTAAAATATTAATATTATTATATATTAGTACAACTAAAATAACACTGGTTTGTGTATATATTTATATCTCATTTATTTATCTTTTTTTTACATATACATTTTTTTTTTTAAATCCAAAAGGCTTTTGTTTTAAAAGTTCAATAAATGCATGATCTTTCAAAAGTCAGTGTTTATTGTTAAATAATTGTGATCTCGATATAGACTCAAATGAGTGTGATTTGTGCCATGCTCAAGCAGCACATGACTCAAACGCTCGCGTCTTACTGGCTGACACACAGATACACAGGCAGCCCTAGATAGTGATGTAACGAGTGTTCACAGTCTCGTATTAGAAGCACACCGTCAGTCCGTATGTGTGCAGCTCTAATCTGTGATCAGTAATTATTATGTATTAATAATAATGTATTATTATGTCAGTGCCGGAGCGTCCGGCGCGCAGGAGAATCGATATGTGGGCTTCGGAAACACTCCCATCCCGCCCAAGAAAGATGAAGACTTCCTCAATAACACCATGTCCTCTCTCTACTCGGTAATACAGCAGCTCTGTTATAACAACTGTTATAATCACTCTCTGTTATAATAACTGTTATAATCACCCTCTGTTATAATAACTGTCCGTCAGGCGTCATTAACGTCGTCTCTGTCGCGTGTGTTTCAGGGCTGGAGCAGTTTCACTGTCGGAGCCAGCAAGTTTGCGTCTGTCGCTAAAGATAGTGTAAGTACATCACGTGTGTTTTTTGTAGTGTGTGTGTGTGTGATTTTGTGTCTGTGATTTTGAGTGTGTGAGATTGTGTGTGTGAGTGTGAGAATGATCAATCCACTACAATGAACTTCTCATGCATAATAACTGATGGGATTGTGATTTATAAAGAAACCTTTTTTTTATTTATTTTTTTATCTTCTCTTCTTCACAGACCACAAAACTGGCCAGTCAAGCAACTCTGAAGGTGCGTGTCATAATGTTTGAGTCTCACTAACACACAAATCTGATCTGAAGCTGGTTTATGAGGACTGGCTTGAAAATATCAATTTCCAGATTTTAATCTAGAGCTGCCCCCGATTCTTCTAAGTCGACTAGTTGCATGTTTATGATATTAATTTGATTACTCGGATATATACTGGGAGTGGCATGGCATTGGAAAATGGTTTCAGTTTGAGGGCTGAGAAAGAATATTATATGTAACATTCTACATAACAGAAATACCAAACCATAACAATGAGCCTTTAAAATACAAATGAAGCGATCAAGTGCACACATAAATCTCACCAGCATAAGTAATAATAATAATACATTTTATTTATAATGCACTTTTCATTTGAGAACAAGTGAGAATGATTATGAATGTGTCAGAAAAAAACAGAAACTGTCTGAACATTTTATTAATTATTAATAAAGTGTGTGAAGTTGCCTGACTCGCGTATAGTGGATGTGCATGTACAGAGAGAAGCGCGTTAGGTTAAACATGTCCTGCTCATTTATCTTTCAAACTCCACACACACACTGGGATGTGTGCCGAATAGTAGCGCACATTTATCTAGATTAACGTTAAAGCGTTTTTTTTTTCTGTGATCAACCGACTAATTAAAGTTTGGTCAATTTAAGCCTCTTCTCGTCAACTATTAGGAGCCAGCCCTATTTTAATCCATCTTCATTTAAACAAACCGATACTGATACTTGAATCCCGAGATTGATCTGTTAATCCATGGTGTTTTCAGTTGATGCATGAACAAAACGCCACTAAACATCATTTGTAGCACTCCGACCATCTAATAATCGCAATAAGCCATCGCTTGTGATAAGAGTTAAAGAATCAGCTTTCAAATGATGCCAATTCCATCACAAAATTTGGTGCTCTTAAATTGAAATCGAATTGAGATCGCAATCGAGACCGAGAGCTTGTGAATGGGAATAGACTCAGCCGTCAGATCTGCATCGGTCTCTAGTTTATCTCGCGTGTGTGTGTGTGTGATTGTGAGAGAGAGTGTGTGTGAGTGAATACACACATGACTTGTGAGATGAAACACTGATTTGAGGAACACATGGACAACAGCTCTAGAAACCTTTAGAGGAATAGTTCACCTAAAAATGATGTATTTACTCACCCAAAGGCTTTCCAAGATGCATATAACTTTCTTTCTTCAGCCAAAGAGAAATATAGGTTTTGGAGCAGGATTTTCTCCATATAATGCAAGTGAATGATGCGCACCGTTGTCCATTTTTGACAGCCCAAAATCCATATTTCGGCAGCTTTATTTTGGGCTCCACACGATCCCAGCTGACTAATAAGGGTCTTTTTCTAGCGAAACACTCCGTCATTTTCATCTACAAATGCTCACCTTGCTCCAGCTCTACGAAACACTTTCTCGAAATGGTTGAGTTCATAACCTCTCGCATGACGTGCACATTACATCCAGGATACACGCACGAACGGACCACTTTTAAAGTCCCCCTGTAGTCAATAATTGTAATCCAGAAAGCTTATTTTATTTCATTTTGATATTTTTTTTCTATTTTTAATGCAAATTTTTGGAGATTTTTTTTTTTAAAATTACTAGATTTGATCAATGAATAACAAATAAATAGTAATTTAAGCACATTCCTCACATTAGTTCAACTTAAATTCAAAATAACTCAAAATTTCATGCATAAACCTTTTAATTCAGCTCAAAATATCTTACATTGTGTCTTTGCCGACCTCATGTGGAAAAAAATAATATAACATGATATTTCATGACTCTAGATGGGCTTATATCTCTATATAGAGCAAATGAGCTGTTCCGCTGGGTCCTAAAGTCAGTTTCACTTCTGTGTGCATTTAGATACACATGTAGACATTTATAAAATCATTTATTGGTAAAGTTTTAGCTTTTTAGTTTTAATTTTGAGCATTTTAGGTTTTCTATGTGTACTGAAGCATTCCATTCATTCCTAAGGGGCTCAAATTGACCTGCGAGTGAAGGATTTGTTACTGTTTTAAATCCTCGAATCTATTCATTTTTGTGTATGTGTGTATTCATGGTTCAAGTGCAACAGAAGTCCTAGGGTGAACACTCTGATGAACACTCAATACAATTTTTTAAACAAAGTTTCCGGTCAGAATGACCCACGGGAAAGATGATGGTTTAAAGGGGTAGTATAATGCCATTTTTGTACAAGCTAATATGATTCTTTAGGGTCTAAATGAAAAGTTTGTAATATACTTTAATTAAAAATTCTCATTAGTATTGTAAGAAAACACTTATTTTACCTGGTCAAAAACAGCTCTGTTTTCAGCACGCCGTTTCAGTGTATATGACTTTAAATGATAATGAGCTTTGCTCACCCCGCCCCTCTGTTCTGTGCGTACACCATTTGTAACTCAATAACACAATAACCATAACGCGTTGTTCAGTGTAAACGTGGGATTATGAATTATATTGAGAACGTCGTACATAGAAAACATGCCGTAATGTACCCTGAGTGTAAACCTTAGACGCATTCATCGTGAAGCGATTTGCAAAGATTAATATATTAATATAAAGTTTAATAAAACGTTACACTCACTTCCGTTCTTCTGGAGATTCAGCAGGAACACAAATATCTGGTACCGATCTTTTTTCAGGAGCAGCTTCTTAGCAAAACCAGCTGTATACTGATCCTCGTTTATAAAGCAGTCTGGTGTGTGAAATGATTCGCGCAAACATGAAAGCATTGACGTTGCTCGTGGGGAATATTCCCTTCGAAAACAAACACAGCCACTGCGTCTTCAGCGGTTCGGATTTAGGAACATTAAAATGACTGTGTTCGTTATTACACCCAAGAACAGAACACCACAATCGCTTAGACGCCATTCTGCTCATAGACAGTGCTCCAGCATATCAACAATGACCGCGCCGATCCGCGCAGACTATGATTGACAGCTCTCACGAGCGAGAGCGGGTCTGTGTTGAAACGCTCCTGTCAATCAACAATCGTGGGAGGGGCTTCCGAGCGTGTGACGTCACACGGTCGAACGGCTCGATTTGAGACGGGGGAAAACATATAAGGAGATTAAAACAAAACCACTGGATGGATTTTTATCATTATATGATGTTTGTGTACAGACACTGCCAACACACATTTCAGTACAATCAACTTGTAAAAGTGCATGTACCATTATATGACCCCTTTAAAACTGCAGCTTTACAGTATTACACATGAACACAGAAGCTGTATTTGTAACTGAAAGTGTCGCTGACAGTGTGTGTTTGCAGTAACAGCTGCCGTCTGTAGTTTATATCCGCTGCTTTATTCTGTCTCTGCCGCTGCTGTGGATGAAGTTACGGGGTTATAAACCACCGCCTGAGCCGGTAACACTCACCGCATGCTGTGTGTGTGTGTGTGAGAACACTGAACACCTGTCACATGCATCATGTGTCTGATTCAGTGTGTAGACTCTGGTCATTTCCAGTGTGCATGTCATCGCTTTACTTCATTCCCACAGTTCACTGCGGACAATACAATCTCCTGTTGCATTGGGTTCAAAGGTTACCGATTGGTCCTCATTTAGTGGCTCATGGTCTGTCATGCATGTGCTGTGACTCATGTTTTCATCTTGTTTTATGTGTGTGTGTGTGTGTATAATCGGGGTGGGCAACGATTAATCGTGATTGGTAAATGGTAAATGGACTGCATTTATATAGCGCTTTCACAGACCCAATGGCCACCAAAGCGCTTTACATTTTGCCTCACATTCACACACCGATTCACACACGATTAATCGCATTCCGAAATAAAAGTGTGTGTTTAGATAATATATGTGTGTGTACTGTGTATAATTATTTTGTATAAATAAATACACACACATGCATGTATATATTTAAGAAATATTAGCATGTATATACTGTTCATATTTATGTTATATAAATATTTTATATATAAATAAATAAAAAATCTTAAATATATACATGCATGTGTGTGTATTTATATATACAAAATAATTATACACGGTACACACACACACACATATATTATGTAAACACACACTTTTATTTCGAAAGCGATTTAATCGTTGCCCAGCACTAGTGATGTATAGGTCATATTCTGTGTGTGTGTGTGTGTGTGTGTGTGTGTTCACTCTTCTGTTTCTCTCTCAGGCTACTGAATTGGGCCAGACGTTGAATGACAGTGTTATCAAGCCCACACAAGAGAAGGTAACGTCATGTTTGTAACGGGTCTAGTTAAGAGCGAGTGTGTGAGCGGATGTGCCTGTGAATGAAAGATGCACACATCATGTCAGATTACATTTTCTACATGGATGTCACACAAATACATTTTATATCCAAGTAAATTCATCCAGGTTTAAAAATGGATACACTACCATTCCAATGGTTAGGGTCGGTAATATTTTTAACATGTTTTAAAAGAAGTCTCTTCTGCTCACCAAGGCTGCGTTTATTTAAAAAAATACAGTGAAAACAGTGAACTATTATTACAATTTAAAACGGCTAAGCTGAATTTTCCGCATCATTACTCCAGTCTTCAGTGTCACATTCACAAATCACTCTAATATGATGATTTGATGCTCAAGAAACATTTATGATTATTATCAGTGTTGAAAACAGCTGCAGATTTTTGTGGAAACCGTGAGGCTTTGTATTTTTTTTTTAGGATTCTTTGATGAATAGCAAGTTCAGAAGAACAGCATTTATTTGGAATAGAATCTTTTGTAACATTGAAAATGTCTTCATTGTCACTTTTGATCAATTTAATGCGTCCTTGATGAATAAAAGTATTGATTTACTTATTTCAATACTGCCAGCAGCCATATCACCCTGTAGCCCAAGACTGGTTGCCCACTGAAGCTAAGCAGGGCTGAGCCTGGTTAGTACCTGGATGGGAGACTCCTGAGGAAACCAGGTTGCTGCTGGAAGAGGTGTTAGTGAGGCCAGCAGGGGGCGCTCACCCTGTGGTCTGTGTGGGTCCTCCTAATGCCCCAGTGCAGTGATGATGGGAACACTATACTGTCAAAGAGCACCATCCTTCGGATGAGACGTTAAACTGAGGTCCTGACTCTCTGTGGTCATTAAAAATCCCAGGATGTCTTTCGAAAAAGAGTAGGGGTGTAACCCCGTCATCCTGGCCAAATTTGCCCCTTGGCCTCTGTCCATCATGGCCTCCTAATAATCCCCATATACTGATTGGCTTCATCACTATCTCCTCTCCACCAGTACGCTGGTGTGTGGTGGGCGTTCTGGCCCAATATGGCCGCCGTCGCATCATCCAGGTGATGCTGCACACTGGTGGTGGTTGAGGAGATCCCCCCTTCTATGTGAAGCGCTTTGAGTACCCAGAAAAAGTGCTATAAAAATGTAAAATTTTTTTTTTTTTTTTTTTTTTTTTTTTAAACGTACCCCAGATGTCAATGTATAAAACCAAACCTTAATGTTAGTCATGAATTCAAGTATTTCACACGGGTCACGTGTGCTGCGATCCGAATCCAAATGTTAGTTGATGACCCATGAATAACACGTAAAAAATGTCATTAGACAATATCTGTGACCATCATTGACGAAAAGAAATCTCTTTAATCTTTTTAAATGAAAAAAGCAGACAAATTATTCTACTGTTTGTAACAAGTCTCTACGAGCTTTCATGTTTGTGGTTGCCAGACGCCAAGATTTGAAATCCCCCAATCAGAGGTTTTCCGTTGATGATACATCTTCTGCCCGGTGCTTTGCTTGATATTTGCAATCTGGCAACCATGAGCGTGATCTGAAAACACTCGTGCTTGTATTCAAGGGAAGTCATCAGCACTGTCCGTCCCTTACATGTGTTGTGTTGAACTAATGACATCGTCATCAGCTATGATGACACACGACCGCTTTCACATTACCAGTGTTTCATGCGAACCGCGTCCAGTTTCGAACCAAACTCCCTGTGTGAGAGACCCTTTAAAAGGCTCACTGTGAGCTGAAGTGCAGCAGAGGTTGTGGGGTAAGATGTGCCAGCGACTCAATTACAGAGGACCTGTAATGCCCTTTAACAAAGTCCACCAGGATCAGTGTGTTGCGATTGGTCGAGCGCTTCGAGTGTGTTTGGGAAATGTACCGCCCCTTACCATAACCACCAGTTTCAACACACTACTGACTAACTCAACCAGGCCCCGCCCCTTTATTCTGCATATGAATTATCATAATGAGCAATATTTTGCTGTAAATTGTCAATTAAAAAAAAAAGGGATAAATCAAATCAAAATAGCTAAAATAGAGTCACGTCTTATGCAAAGTCATTTATTATTTTCTAGGGGTGTCACAATATATCGCAATAGAAAAATGCAACAATATGTATCGCGGATGGTGACTAAATGGTAGTTCACCCAAAATGAAAATGGCTTTATGAGAAAAATTGAAGTTTTGAGAGTTTTAGTGTCAGTACTACATTAAACTACTATATATAATGTTGAATATAATGTATAATAATGCAGTGGGGAATATTTGTGTCCTGATAATGGCAGATGTCTGATGTTACCAGTACAAAGTGTCCGACATTATTTTAAATATATCTAGTCAGTGACAGTGAAAGCATATTAGTCTTAAATAATTCAGTATTTTCATCTTCAGAATCATGAATATTGTTATTCTGGTGTCTCTATTGTCCTGTGCTTTGGGTTTCAGCACCAAGTCCAAGACTATTCATTTACACACACAATGTAATATGAAATTTAGCGTTTTAATCAACAGTTCATTTTTTGTTAACCTTTTATCATGTGTCTTGGAGTATCGCAATAATATCGTATTGTGAGTTCAGTATCGTGACATGAGGGAATCGTTACACTCCTAATAATTTCTTTTGATTTTGTGGTTTAATGTTTAATGTGAATCTCACTGATTGAACTCATGCAAACACGATGAAGCCGGTTGTTGTTCTGCCGAGTGTGAAGTGTGTCGATCACGTTCACACACCGTGCGTTTCTGCTGTGACTCGTCTAGGTGAAGGAGGGGAAGTTGTTTGATGAAATGGCCGTCGGCATCACAGGTCTGGCCACTAAGGTACAAGTCTGAGGTGTTTCTCACACACTTCTTCTGCTCACACACACCTGACGCTGATGCGTCGTGATCTGGGGCAGACGAGGCGTGTGAGAAACCATGTGCTCTTTCTGTGTCTCAACTCACTCTTCTTTCTCTCTTTGCTTTTTTTGCTGGCATTGTGATTATGATGGTGAGTATGATGATCTAGAAATAACGTAATCATGTGCAAATGAATCAGTAATCATGGATGCTTGTGTTAAAGACCCCATGAAATCCAGATTGCTGCTCGTGAAGATTTAGCAGATTAACACTTTTTAAATGTACAATCTCTGCTGGGATAACGGACCAAAATACTACTGACATTGAGCGTCTCATCGGGCTTTATGCATGTGGCGCATCTCAAACCTTATGGATATTAAACAACAAATGCCACAAGCTCTCCCTAATGTTATGCCAAAACTTCATGTTTCTATGGAAAATGTCAAAAATTCTCATCGGGGCATTTCAAGGGGTCTTTAAATCATCTCACATTTACAAGTTATATGAGCATTAAACCGAATAACCTAAAGGCCCTTTCACACCACAGCAAAACAACTCTGATCATCGCTCTGTTCACACTGAGAATGAAGCCGCAAACTAATGAAACACATTGCTAAATCGTCTAAGTTCAGCAGCGCAAACACTGATAAATAAAGTGAGATTAAATCCATAAAGTCTATTTGTCTGTTATTAATGCATTATGGCATTATTGACAGTTTATATTTACCTGGGTGTTTGGTTTTGCTGCTGAATATTTGTTGGCAGTGAAAGGGTCTTAAAACGCTGTGATTTGATCCTTTCTGTGTAATCTAACGGCTTCGGGTCAGTGGTGTTAAAGGGACAGTTCACTCAAAAATGAACATTATCCCATGATTTACTCGCCATCAAGCTATCATAGGTGTATATGACATTCTTCTGTCAGACGAATACAATCAGAGTTATATTAAATGTCCTGGCTCTTCCAAGCTTTATAGTGGCAGTGAATGGAGGATGAGATGCACTTTTATGATGGATAGATGCACTTGATGGATAGATGCACTTATGATGGATAGATGCACTTATGATGGATAGATGCACTTATGATGGATAGATGCACTTTTATGATGGATAGATGCACTTTTATGATGGATAGATGCACTTATGATGGATAGATGCACTTTTATGATGGATCGATGCACTTTTATGATGGATAGATGCACTTTTATGATGGATCGATGCACTTTTATGATGGATCGATGCACTTTTATGATGGATAGATGCACTTTTATGATGGATCGATGCACTTTTATGATGGATCGATGCACTTTTATGATGGATAGATGCACTTTTGTGATGGATAGATGCACTTTATGGTGGATAGATGCACTTTTGTGATGGATAGATGCACTTTTATGATGAATAGATGCACTTATGATGGACAGATGCACTTTTATGATGGATAGATGTACTTTTATGATGGATCGATGCACTTTTATGATGGATAGATGCACTTTATGATGGATAGATGCACTTTTATGATGGATAGATGCACTTTATGGTGGATAGATGCACTTTTGTGATGGATAGATGCACTTTTATGATGAATAGATGCACTTATGATGGACAGATGCGCTTTTATGATGGATAGATACACTTTTATGATGGATAGATGCACTTTTATGATGGACAGATGCGCTTTTATGATGGATAGATACACTTTTATGATGGACAGATGTGCTTTTATGATGGATAGATGTGCTTTTATGATGCATAGATGCGCTTTTATGATGCATAGATGCGCTTTTATGATGGATAGATGCAGTTATGATGGATAGATGCGCTTTTATGATGGATAGATGCACTTTATGATGAACAGATGCGCTTTTATGATGGATAGATGCACTTTTATGAGGATAGATGCACTTTATGATGACCAGATGCGCTTTTATCATGGATAGATGCACTTTTATGATGGACAGATGTACTTTTATGATGGATAGATGCGCTTTTATGATGGATAGATGCACTTTTATGAGGACAGATGCACTTTTATGATGGATAGATGCACTTTTATGATGGATAGATGCACTTTTATTATGGATAGATGCGCTTTTATGAGGATAGATGCACTTTTATGATGGACAGATGTACATTTATGATGGATAGATGCGCTTTTATGATGGATAGATGTGCTTTTATGATGGATAGATGCGCTTTTATGATGAACAGATGCGCTTTTATGATGAATATATGCGCTTTTATGATGAACAGATGTACATTTATGATGGATAGATGCGCTTTTATGATGGATAGATGCACTTTTATGATGGATAGATGCACTTTTATGATGGATAGATGCGCTTTTATGATGGATAGATGCACTTATGATGGATAGATGCTTTTATGATGGATAGATGCGCTTTTATGATGGCGCGCTGGATAGATGGATGCGCTTTTATGATGAACAGATGTGCTTTTATGATGGATAGATGCGCTTTTATGATGAACAGATGCGCTTTTATGATGGATAGATGTACATTTATGATGGATAGATGCACTTTTATGATGGATAGATGCGCTTTTATGATGGATAGATGCGCTTTTATGATGGATAGATGTACATTTATGATGGATAGATGCGCTTTTATGATGGATAGATGCGCTTTTATGATGGATAGATGCACTTTTATGATGGATAGATGCGCTTTTATGATGGATAGATGTACATTTATGATGGATAGATGCGCTTTTATGATGGATAGATGCACTTTTATGATGGATAGATGCGCTTTTATGATGAACAGATGCGCTTTTATGATGGATAGATGTACATTTATGATGGATAGATGCGCTTTTATGATGGATAGATGCACTTTTATGATGGATAGATGCACTCTTATGATGGATAGATGCGCTTTTATGATGGATAGATGCACTTTTATGATGGATAGATGTACATTTATGATGGATAGATGCGCTTTTATGATGGATAGATGCGCTTTTATGATGGATAGATGCACTTTTATGATGGATAGATGCGCTTTTATGATGGATAGATGCGCTTTTATGATGGATAGATGCACTTTTATGATGGATAGATGCGCTTTTATGATGGATAGATGCACTTTTATGATGAACAGATGCGCTTTTATGATGGATAGATGTACATTTATGATGGATAGATGCGCTTTTATGATGGATAGATGCGCTTTTATGATGCATAGATGCGCTTTTATGATGCATAGATGCACTTATGATGGATAGATGCGCTTTTATGATGGATAGATGTACATTTATGATGGATAGATGCGCTTTTATGATGGATAGATGCACTTTTATGATGGATAGATGCGCTTTTATGATGGATAGATGCACTTTTATGATGGATAGATGCGCTTTTATGATGGATAGATGCACTTTTATGATGGATAGATGCACTTTTATGATGGATAGATGCACTTTTATGATGGATAGATGCACTTTTATGATGGATAGATGCGCTTTTATGATGGATAGATGTACATTTATGATGGATAGATGCGCTTTTATGATGGATAGATGCACTTTTATGATGGATAGATGCGCTTTTATGATGCATAGATGGCTTTTATGATGCATAGATGCACTTATGATGGATAGATGCGCTTTTATGATGGATAGATGTACATTTATGATGGATAGATGCGCTTTTATGATGGATAGATGCACTTTTATGATGGATAGATGCGCTTTTATGATGGATAGATGCACTTTTATGATGGATAGATGCACTTTTATGATGGATAGATGCACTTTTATGATGGATAGATGCACTTTTATGATGGCGCGCTGGATAGATGCGCTTTTATGATGGCGCGCTGGATAGATGGATGTGCTTTTATGATGCATAGATGCACTTATGATGGATAGATGCACTTATGATGGATAGATGCATTTATGATGGATAGATGCGCTTTTATGATGAACAGATGCACTTTTATGATGGATAGATGTACATTTATGATGGACAGATGTACATTTATGATGGATAGATGCACTTTTATGATGGATAGATGCGCTTTTATGATGGATAGATGCACTTTTATGATGGATAGATGCGCTTTTATGATGGCGCGCTGGATAGATGGATGCGCTTTTATGATGCATAGATGCGCTTTTATGATGCATAGATGCGCTTTTATGATGGATAGATGCGCTTTTATGATGGATAGATGCACTTATGATGGATAGATGCACTTATGATGGATAGATGCACTTATGATGGATAGATGCGCTTTTATGATGGATGGATGCACTTGTATTCGTCTGAAAGAAGAATGTCATATACTAGTAAATCATGGGATAATTTTTTAATTTGTGTGTGAACTATCCCTTTAAGTCGCTCTGTGTTCGTTCAGGTTCAGGGTGCAGGTGCTAAAGGCTGGAAGGATATGACATCGTTCTTCGGTGGGAAACAAGACGACGCTGAGGATGGGTAATTACACTTTTATTCAACAAGGATTGAATAAATGGTTACACTTTATTTTAAGGTGTCATTGTTTCAGTGTAATTATATATTTAAGTACGGAGTAATATTAAGTAACTACATGCACTTACTATAGGGTTAGGGTAGGATTAGGGTTTGATTGAGCGTTAGTTACATGTAATTATGTATATTTTACTGTTATTTCTATGGTAAATACATGTAACATACAGTGGTGGCCAAAATTATTAGAACACCTGACAGATCTGAAAAAAATAAATAATAATTTGCCTCCAAAACATGATATAATTTCTTAATGTTCATGAAACATGCAGATGGTTCCTCTGAGCACAACAAATATCGTACTGTTTTTATCCACTTTTAACTTTAATATTTGGTATGTCCATTGTCCACCTTTTGCAGCCATCACAGCATCACATCTCTCTGGCACAGTGTCAATATATTTCCTGAGAACTTCAACACTAATGTTATCTCATGCCTTCTGCAACTGAAGCCAAAAGTTTCCTTTGAATGTACAATAGATCTGTCCAGTTTATTCTCCAACTCGCCCCAAATTAGCTCGATGGGGTTGAAGTCGGGATGGAAGTTAGTCCATCATTTTCAATGTTGCAGCAGATTCCTTCTGTCACGGGGAGTTCTGGCAATAGTTAGAAGAATGATTAGGGTCATTGTCCTCTTGGAAAATAACAACTGAAACCTTTTAAATATGCCAAGTGTTCTAATAGTTATGGCCACCACTGTAAAAAAATAGTGTTACCAAATAAATTGATCAAAATCGTTGTTACAAACGGTTTTTTTTTTCTCGTTTTTTTTCTCCAGTTCTGCCATTATATATTTAAGTACTGAGTAATATTAATTACCTACATGTACTTACTATAGGGTTAGGGTAGGATTAGGGTTTGGTTGAGGGTTAGTTGCATGTAATTATGTATAATTTATTGTTATTACTATAGTAAGTATAACAAGGAGTTAGAAAAGTTTGTTGCTGATTTTTTTCTTTTCTCTTTCAGTTCTGCTTATGAAGAAGGTTATCAGAACCAGGATCCCTTCGGCACTCAAGCTCCTAAGAAGGACTTCTGGGAAACTTTCGGGAGTACCGTGTCTCCCAGCGATTCTGCGGAGAAGACCTGGAGCATGGAGGCTCACGCCGACAATAAGAACAGTGCCGGAGAGAGCTGGGAGACCTGGGACAACGACTGGGAGAAAGCTGGAGACGCCAAGAACAAGAAGAGCCCGTCGAAACCCAACGAGGACTCCTGGGACAACAGCGGCTGGTAGACCGGCTCACACCGGCCCAAACACACCTCTGGCGCTCGTCTCGCTCGTCGCCGTTCGTTTAATGTTGAGAATGAGTTTATTAAAGGTCTTTCTGAGCCTTTCTCTGTCCATGATGGAGATGTTTGATATTCCAGTATCATGTTTCATGTCGACACCAGCAGAGATCTGCATGTCATCTGCTGTTTGTGGTCTGTGGATCATAAACCTTCTGATAATGTGAGCGGATCGCAGTGGCTTTCCTTCGTCATGACTGACTCCGTTTGTCTGTTTGTTCATCAATTTTTGTTTTATACGTATATGACAGATTCCTATTAAAAAAAAGCATTTTTATCAGCAGAATCATTCAGTCGTCATAAATCATCCTGTGTATTACGCATTCATGTTTACATTGTCATCCTGTTTATTATGTAATCATGACAATAACCGAACGTTTGTCAGTAAAAGCACGAAACGTTTAGTTAATATCCTTCAGTTCGACATCCATCATCACCTCATGGCCTTTTGTGGAAATCGCTGGTATTTTTAAAGATATTTTGGGCGTTTATAATCATGCTATGTATTTTGTTTGTTCGTTTGTTTCCCTCTTCTGTATTGGCCTCCACGTGTTGTTCATATCGTCATTCCAGATGTGAAATGTGTTTGACATGCAAGAACAAATGATATCACAAGGTTTCATGTAAAACTCAAGGCATGGACATCAAACATTATTTATTTCCCTTTTATTTGTGATTTCGGCTGAACGGGATGTTTGTCTTTACCTCGGTAATAAGGTGGTTGTTTACTGTGTTATTGTCAAGGTCACCCTGACTCTCTCTATGATATTGAACATTTCTATTATCCACCCGAACATCACGTGTTCAATGATCCGCTGATTTGATATCTTCTTCTGTGTGGGTGTACCGGACGGGTACGTCTGTGAAACACCGTATGTTTGAACTGTAACAACACCTGCTGTGTCTGGGGAACACGGGCGAGCTACACTATATTCTGCTAGTTAAATGGTATAGTTAATAAAGCGTTAAACACCACCTGACTTCTGAACTTGGTCTCATTTGAACCTGATTTTACTGAGAAGAGAAACCAATGAGACTAATAAAGGTCATGATTTGACTTGAGATGTTTTCTGTGCAGATTTTGAGCATGTAAGCATGCTGTTGTCACACTGGGTTTATCATAGATGGTGTGGATGACACATATTCAATTCATTTTATATTCATTCGTGTAGCGCTTTTCACAATACACATCGTTTCAAAGCAGCTTTAGAGAAAATGCACAAGTCCACATTACAAGTCTACTGTTACAGTCATCTGTTATCAGAGGAAACTGTCTAAGTTATGCATTTCAGAAATGTACATATACAGATTAAACTCGAAAAATTAGAATATCGTGCAAAAGTTCATTTATTTCAGTAATTCAACTTAAAAGGTGAAACTAATATATTATATAGACTCATTACATGCAGAGATATTTCAAGCCTTTATTTGTTATAATTTTGATGATTATGGCTTACAGCTTATGAAAACCTTTTCACAATATTCTAATTTTTAATTTGGGGTTTTCATATCTGTAAGCCATAATCATCAAAATTATAACAAATAAAGGCTTGAAATATCTCACTTTGCATGTAAAGAGTCTATATAATATATTAGTTTCACCTTTTAAGTTGAATTACTGAAATAAATGAACTTTTGCACGATATTCAAATTTTTCGAGTTTCACCTGTACAAAATCACAGTTGGCTAAAAATGTATTCATTTAAACAATGTAATAATTGAAGGCAGTAACAATGAGCTGATTGAAGTAATGAATACTTGTTTGTTAACAAATGATTATGACATTTAGAAAAATGTAACGTATGATGCGTCGACTTCATGGAAACGCTTTCAAATGGACCATGAACAAAGGCGTTACAGATCTGCGGTGTGCCTCAAGGCTCGGTGTTCGGTCCTCTCCTGTTCTCTGTTTACAGCCTCACGTGATTTTCCTATCAGTGTTTGCAGGTACAAAGTCACTTGCCAGACCCTGAGCTGCCGATCTCCACCCGAACTCACATCTGAAGCTAAAGACGCCTCATCTACAAACACTTAAGCCTTAAAGTCCCCCTGTAGTCAATCATTTTATCCCTTAAAACTCATCTTTGATCACCAAAATGACATATTTAAAAGTTTTTTTCTTGGAAAAACAATTCTTCATGCCTTAAAATATCTTGAATGTAACTCGACACCCTTGCCTCATTTAGTATGCACGGTTCTATGAATATGCAAATGAGCCCCGCCTCCACTCACTCACTCAGCTCAGAGATCTACTGGTTGACGATCAAACGTCGATCTGATTGGTTACAAGGTCGTTTGTGACGTCAGAAACACCAGCGATTTCAAACCGTGTGTTTGAGACTGTCTTTGGTTCACTGCAGTTTTAAGGAGAAAATACTCAGCAATGCTGTCGACTTATGAATTTACACATGGTTTGTCTTAAAGCATATTAAAAACACCACATAGACACATAAACAACATTAAAAGCTGGATTTTCACCACCGGGGGACTTTAAATCAATGCACATGATGGATCGCTTATGATGGAAATGCGTCTTTCTGGTGTAATTTTAGAGTGACTAAAGGCTGAATATTGTAATATTGTACAATGTCATCTTTAGAGATGTTATAATATTTATTACATCCTAACACAGTTAAAATGCTGATGTCGGATGATTTAAGGGAATTTAATAGCTCGAACAGTAGTGTGTGGTGCTTGCAGTGATGAGTTCATGGGTTCAGAGACGTGTTTCCATGACGACCGAGTAACAGTGAAGCTGTATCCATAGCAGCCACTTGCAGCTTCGAGAAATGAAGATCTAGAGGTGGCATAAGAGCATTAAACATGGTCAGTCAGTAAACTGCTGAACGTGTGTTAGTCAGTTCATTTACAGATGTCCAGCAGAAAGGATACTCAATGTCACTGATGTCACGTGATGGAGCCTCCTTTCATGACGTCAGCGTACATGAATCAAACTTCACTGACGCGTGCATGTATGCATCAGTGATGTACATGTGTGCAAGATTTAATTCAAGTTAAAGTTAGATGGAAACATGGCACTTCACATGTGCAACACACACACACACACACACACACTATAAGAGAGATCTGATGTGTTGATGTGCTTCTCTTCTCTGCTGTGGTTTATATTTGCTTCTGTATTTTTGCATTTTAAGGGTTCGGGTCTTTATTGTCATTCCATCCATACACATTTTCACATGAAGGAACGAAACTGAGTACTAAGGTCCCGGTCAAAACACAAGATAAAAACATTAACCCATAAAACTTTAGAAACTAGAGAGTTTGTCAGTATAAAAACAGTGCACTTTAAATTTGCTATTTAATTCTACTTAACATGCATTACTATAGAGCAGGTCATGATTGAGATGTGTTCAATAAATCCACTTCTATATTTAATTGAATTTAATCATCCAGTTTCCACAGCAGTTTCTTATGTTTTTTGCATATCATCAGCCTTTATTTCCAGTACTTTTACCCATCTGTCTCGAGTCAACCAGTCATGAAGTCGTTCCCCAAATCTGCTCATGGACTGATCCTGCTGCAGTGAACCATAGGGCGGGGCTTGATCACATCAATCACTGCAGCGCGTGTGCTGATTGGCTGCTGCGAGCTGTAGGCGGGGCCAGATGGAGGGCTGAATCATTCATGCACAATACAGCGGTTAAAGCTCGCTCTGTACTGGATCATATAGTACGATTAAAGGTATATAACAGATGAATGTGGTGATCAGATTGAGGAAGAGTGCGGTGATGAAGATGTAATGGCGTAGACTCCGCCCATCAGCCTCCATCTGAACAGCAGCTCACACACATCACTGTTTTATCGCTGGTTTTGGGGTAAGAACATCACATAAGCATGAAAACACCCTCACTTTCTGCATGACAGCGCTGTCAGAATGATATTTGCATGCCGCCAGATGGAGATTTCATGGGAATTCATCTCCATTTGACGTTTTATGATCGATGCGTCTGAGATTGCAGAGTTAAACGCGTGACGTGTGTGAACGCTTCCGAAAGCGATGCGATTTTAATTCACATTAACTCGACGCATATTTAATAACGTTCGAGTTTACTATGTCATTGTGTTTAAACGTCATGTTCATTCTTTCATCTCGATATGTGTCGAACTATTCCATTAATAGAACTGACACTATCAAACACTAAACGCACATCAGACAGTGTCACAGATCATATCACTGTGCGAAATCTATAAGCATAAATGACAAGAAAACACTGATTGTTGTAGTCGGTTCGCTGTGACGTCATCTCGATTATGTCATAGAGGGGTCGTTTGTGTAGCATTCTAATTTAGAATCCTGTCTGTGTAACCATGGTGATTCATTTCTCTTAGGAAACATAACTTTGTTTAAATCTGGGTTATACTTTAATTTATGGTGTCCTTGTTACAGTTATACAAGGACTTAGTAATGTTAATTAACTACATGTATTTACTATAGGGCTTGGGGTTGCACTTTATTTTACAGTAAGAAAGTACTGGGTAGTATAAGGTAACGCGTTACGGTTATTCAGGGTCATTACCTAGTTATTATTGTACTATAATAGTATGTACATGCAGAACAGGACTAAAATTAAGTGCTACCGGGTTTGGTTTAGGGTTATTTTCTTGTAATTAGGGTTATGCATAATTTACTTTTATTACTATAGAACGTAGAAGTAAAATGTGTAACATCTGTAAAATAAAGTGTTACCTAAAATCTTGAGTTAAGAATTAAGGTTGGACTTGGAAGATAAAATTGAGGAGATGAAAGATGAAATTAAGAAGAATGAAAACGTTATATAGCTTATACCTGATCCAGCTAATCAAGTCCTTCAGGTTTATGTGAAAACTACAGGTATGATGATTCGAGTTGTAACTAAAGTCTGCAGGGCGGTGGCTGTCTGGGAACTGAGTTTTTGAGAAGTTAATGAACTGTATGCAACCTGATATGCATATTCTTCTGTGTTTCTAGGTAGTTTAAAGCAATATTATTCTGCTTTTTATGAGTATATTCATGAGTGATGCAGACAATGATTGAAACACAAATGTAAAATGTGGATAAACACATAATAGAAACTATTTAAGAATCTTCTTGAGACAAAATTTGATTTAATGTTCTCTCTGTTGTTATAATCCCGAAAAAAAAATACTTTTTACAGTTGCAATTATAACAAGGATTTTAAACACACCATGAGTGTTTGAGAGATTCATCTTGAGCTCTGTTCACATTTCTATAAGAAAGCATGTCAGAGTCGGTGGTGTGTGTGCAGAATACTGATGTGTGTTCAGCGTTTCACAGCCAGCGCACGTCAGTGAGTTTCTGTGAGAGTTGCCCACCGCTGGCCAAGCGACGGATATGCAAATGAGCAGTGATGCAGAGACTACCAATGGGAGAGCAGAAACTGATATGCTGTTTAAATATGTTGTGAACGTGCCATTGCTGATTTGTATGGAAGCTTGTTTCCGCCACAGAATAAAAAATAAAAAAGGTAATTGCGATTTTTTATCTCGCAATTCTGATATGATATGATATGCGTGATATGGTCGCAATTGCGTGTTATAAAGTCAGAATTGTGTGATATAAAGTCGCAATTGTGTGTTATAAAGTCAGAATTGCGTGATATATAGTCGCAATTGTGTGATATAAAGTCGCAATTGTGTGTTATAAAGTCAGAATTGTGCGTTATAAAGTCAGAATTGTGTGATATAAAGTCGCAATTGCGTGTTATAAAGTCAGAATTGCGTGATATTGTCGCAATTGTGTGTTATAAAGTCAGAATTGCGTGATATATAGTCGCAATTGTGTGTTATAAAGTCAGAATTGTGTGATATAAAGTCGCAATTGTGTGTTATAAAGTCAGAATTGCGTGATATATGGTCGCAATTGTGTGATATAAAGTCGAAATTTTGTGATATAAAGTCGCAATTATAAAGTCAAAATTGTGTGATATAAAGTCGCAATTGCGTGTTTTTAAGTC